CAGAACATGATAAGGACGATTTCAAAAAGATTTAAAACTCATCAACCGTGAAATTGATTTGCAATAAGATATTTGTACTTTTGGGGCTATTAATTACTGCCAACTGATTTGGTTTTGGTGTGTTTTGTGGCTTTTCAAATCAACAGAGATTTATTTTAACTTAATTAAGTCCACATCATTGGCATGAAGCTCGAATAGTCAATCTATTTTAATGTTTAAAATTTTAAAGCACTGAAATGATGAAATAATCAAGAAGTTCGAATCCTACCCGAATATCACAAATGAATTAATCGATCCGAAATCCGGCACCAATGAAAGGTATGACTCTGACATGTTGCTGGATTTTAGTCGAAGCAAGCACCATGCGAGGGTCATACTGGCTTTGTGTTGGAATTCCATTCAATAAACCGACTTATGCTTTTCGTGTTAATTAAAGATTTAACAGTTCCCTTCTTAATTGTGCTGGTTGATTTGAGTCTGAAATGAAAAACTCCCAAACATTTATTGTGCCCTATCGCAAAAACCTACTAACGTCAATTTATTAACACACTAGCAGATTAAGCTGCATAAGGCTCGATACATTAGATTTCACTGTGCATCTTGAAAAAAGCTTCAACTTAATTCACATGATCAACTTACACTAATAAACTCTAATATAAAAATTAAGAATTCCAAAAGTTTCTCACAGCTGTTCCTTAGTAATTTCACTTCTACAATTATTTTCATACTCTCCATGCATATATGTATGTACTGCTTCCAAAAAGAGCCATTAAATGAGTATTAAAAAACTGTAACAATGTGTGCTTACACTATAATTTTAAATAATAAGCAAAAGCAACAAATTGCAAGGCATTTGAAAATGCGAAATAACAGAAAAGTATGCTTCTAGCAATTTGCGTAAATTGTTCATAGCAATTTATCTCTTAAATATAGTCTCATGCTGAGAATATTGGAGCACATATGTGTGTTTCTTCTGAATAATTTGTAAGAAAGTCATGAATTATTTATTTAGGATTTTAGAATGGCTTGGGACGCTTGTGGAGCTGGATTGATTGTTTTGTTGGAAATTAAACTTATTGTGGATGTGGGCTGGATGTTCTGGGGTTCAAAAAAACAATTAATGAAAAAATATTTTACCTGAAACATTCTTGACTAAAACTGCTTTAACAGACACTTCCTGAGCAAAACCACATCTTATTCGCAAAATAAAGCTCAAAAGTTCAAGTTTTCTATAAAATGTTGTCTCATGAAGATATTCAGATAAATATAGAGCAACGAACAGTATCTCAATTATTTTATTTCATACATCCGTAGATATAAATTGAGAATTGAGTAGAAAAAAGTGACACACACATAAAAAACGAGAATCCGGGCTATTCATCAACTTTTTGGTTGCAATTTGCAGCTTTTTTTTTATCGAAACTGGAAATTATATTTCCTGATTTTTGGGGTGTTACTTCCGGGTTCATCTATAAAGTGTTAATATTTGCTTGTAAATTTGATGAAAAATCTCTAAAGCACCCCCAATGATGATATGATATCCTTAAAAATTGTAAAAAAAATAGGCGCCTCACGACTGACACAAAAATATTATACAACTCGGACATAAGTGTGCTTAACTTAAATTTTGTTATCTTTGCAGATTTAGATGAGCAAAACAATTCAGATTTTGTATTTGTTATTTTTTTCTCACTGCGATGTGACTTCACTTTCATTTAGAATTTAAACTCGTACGACGATAGTCATGCTGAACAGTATCCGAATAAAATTGCATTTTTGCATCACTGTGCTCACACTAGTCCATTGTGCATCAGCATTACCACCATTTATAATCAAGCAGCATGACAGCAGTGAAATTTTATATCAAGTTGCATCAAAAGGCAATCATCCCAGACAATTTTCGTTGTTGTGCGAGGCAGGAGGTGACCCACCTCCCAAGTAAGTTGATTTTTTATCGTCTTTTGCTGTGATACATTGCTGCTGTGCATTTTGGGGGCTTATCTTGAATCTTGATGTAAAGTTCCTTTAGAAATTTTGCAAAAAATACAGACACTTTTGTCAAGTTCCTCAAATTTCACAATCTTGTATCACAAAGTCATGCAACGTACATCCATTTATACCCGAAAACTTAAGCTAAATTTCATTGCAGATATCGTTGGATGAAAAACGGGGAGCATTTCAATATCACAGCACATGCAAATAGAATTACAATGGATATGCCAAATGGAACAATGACATTTCGAGTACCTGAGAATGATGATGAAGGAATTTATCAGTGTTTTGCAAAAAATAAGCATGGCTTTGCCACATTCAATCCATACATTGTACAAAAATCATTTATGAAAAGTTTTAAAGACGATTCAATTGAAGTGATTGAAATTCCTGTTGGACAGCCATTGAAACTCGAATGTAAAGCACCAAATGGCTTTCCAACACCGACCGTATATTGGATGATTCAAACATTTGGAAGCGGCGAAATTCAAGAAATTGAAAATTCACGTCGTACAGTTGATCCTGAAGGAAATTTGTGGTTCTCGTCTGTGCATCGTGATGATGAACTTAAAAAAGCATATTATGCATGTGCTGCAACAACACCGAGACGAAATGAATACAAGTTGGGCAAACGTGTTCAGGTAAAGGTTATTCATGCAAATAAAGACAACAATGATGATGATGACAGCAGTGGCGATCGTGAAACGGATGAGAAAAGTCATGAAAATTTAGTTCCACCAATTATGCAATATGTCTCACATCCACACGTTGTCGTACTGCGTGGTCAAAGGACTGAATTATTTTGCATTTATGGCGGATCACCAGTCGTTCATGTCATGTGGAAATTTAATGGATCGTCCATAAATTACGATAAAAGAGTCATGGAGAAAAATTTCGGCAAGTCACTTCTCATACGCGATACACGACTTAATGACCGTGGTTTATACTCTTGTGATGTATCGAATGGTCCGAATAGCAACAAAACATCATTAATAAATGTCGAAGTCCTGGCAAAGCCATATTTCATCGCATATCCTAAATCTAAGTCAATTGTTGAGAATGAAACGTCAACCGTAGATTTTCATTGCGATGTTCGTGGATGGCCAGAACCGGATATTATATGGACGCATAATGGTCAAGTTCTCATGATTCCAACAGAATCAACAACACAATCGTCGTCATCGTCAACGGAATCGTCGTCTGGAGAGCGATTGAGTGTTGTAAAAAATAAATTGACAATTAAGGATTTAATTAAAAGTGATACTGGCAATTATGGATGTAATGCAACAAATTCACTTGGATATGCTTATAGAGATTTCTATTTAGATATTGTAAAGCCACAGAAAGTTCTTAATTGAGATAGTTTATAGAGCGTGTGCATTATTACTTTTATTATTATTACAACTATTTCCATTATTATCATCATCTTGTCTTATATGACTGTGCTTCCACATGATATTAAAATAAATATGAAGATTTTGAAGAAATGAGTGTGTGCATACTTTGACTGGAGGTTTTAAAGGTTTCTATGAATTTTTAGCTCGTTTTAAAGGTTTAGTGGACAATGAATGCAGCAATTGCAGCACATTTGAGGGTTTACACCAATATAATATGGTATTTATAACCAAATTTCACATCAATTCATTCCATTTAATGACAACTAATTTGAAACTAATCATATGCTAGCCACGACCACCTCACGCAGCCACACATGCTGTGCGTGTAATTAAGTTCATGATTTTCAAGGAAACATTAATTTATGAAACAACATTTTCTCAATTTTGGTGGCGTTAAGTACACGAATTTACTATAATATACATGCAAATTGTTTAAGTCGTGAATAGTTCAAGTAGCATAAATAAGCTATTTATAGTTTATTTGTGGAACTATGCTAATGATGAATAATGATGTAAAATTTTTGATGAATGCGTTGAGCTCACGAGTGCAGAATATTTTTTATGTCGTTCTATTTAACATGCTGTGGCTGTTAAGTACTGCATATAAAAAGTACTGAAAAAGGATTTTTAATAGTTTGAAATCTGATTATTTTTTTAAAAATCATGCAATTTTGACGGAGCCTGTTCAAGGAGTCTGCATATGAGAGACATTATTTAGAATTTATATGATAGAACTGCTTCCGAAATTCGTGTCAATAAAGTTATACAAGAATGTTAGGAAAATATTAGAACATGAATGGATTTTTAAATGTAAATAATATACTTAATGAATCATTATCTTTATAAGGCTACGAATTTATAATAAGAAATTATCGAACGACCCATAAAAATACCCTTAATAATAGACAGATTAAACAGTGTGCTTGACCTCAATATTTTACATAGAATCAATCTTTCTACTTAAAGATATCTGCAGATGTTCTACAAAATTGCAAAATCAATAAAACCAAGAATTTACCCCAATTATGCTGTTACAATTTTTTGGAAGAGCAAAAGGTCAAGAACAAGAAAATTTCTCATACAGCACTGAATATTTAATACAAAGACTTTTTCAATATCAGTAAACTCTCTTTTAAGAACATATATTTTAGGTCATGTTAAGCAAAATCTGGATATTTTTTTTTTTTAAAATAAAAAAAGAATTTCCATGCTCCATTTAAAACTGAAACTTTACTCATCCCAAATAAACAGTAATATTCGTCAAAATTCAAACAGCTGTTTTAATCCTCATATATTATGCCTAATTTCATTCTCATCAACAACCAATGCCTCATTAAATTCCTCTAACGTAACTGAAAAACTCAAAAACATGCATGCGTTGCAAAGCTCATGTGCGCATGTTCACTAGCACATTGCCCGACCCTTTGTCACAACTTGATGACGACATAGAGGAACAAAAAAACTTTTACGTTTCCTTTCATTTCAGCTTTTGCAATTTTTTTATTCGTGGGTGAAAAACAAAACCAAAACGGATAAGAAATTTTTTTGGTTTTATTAGAAAATGTTAAATTAGTGGATATAAAGTCAATTCTATATAGTTAAATAGCAGAAATGGAAGGTACGGAAGATTCTTCAGAGAATGGAAAATGTGAGGAAATCGATGAAGAATATGAATCGAAAAATGGGGAATTTTTATTCAATTACGATCATATGGACAATAAATCATACGGGTTTGAGGCAAATTTTAATGGAACTGATGACTATTCCGATGGTGATGAACGTGAATCTGAAGAAAGTGACAGGTATGGAATATTTATATAGTTCAAAAAAATCAATAAACAAAAATTTTATTTACAAATTAGAATTCGTGCCCTCGAAGAGGAACAAGAGTCACTTCTATCGTCTCTGATGGCACTAACAACACATTTTGCTCAAGTACAATTCCGACTTCATCAGATTGTTGAGGCACCAGAAAAGGATCGTGACATACTGCTTAAAAAACTCGAAGACTTTGCTGACCGTGGGATACCAAATTATAGTGAGCAAAATGGTGATAAAAATATGAAAACGATTCTCACAAAAATGGATTGTCAAAAAAGTCGACAACAGGAATTAATTGAGCAGTTAAAGACACAATTGGATGATTTAGAAAAGTATGCGTATGAAACCGGTGAGCCAGTCCTTCCCCAAGCCATAATGATGGAAAAACAAAAGATTATAATTGATGAATTGAAGCAAAAGATGAATTTAAACTTCAATGAACTTGATTTGCCTCAATTGTCACCGGACGAATTAAGAAATCATGTCGATGCGGCATTTGGTGAATTTGTGAGTCCATTGAAGATGAAGGAGCAACTGGTGGCTCAACTCAAGACACAAGTCAATGATCTCGAAAGATTTATAAAATTCCTTCAAGTCGAAAAAAGTGATAAGAAGAAAATGTTGAAACAGCAGCTTCTCAAGAAGCACAATTGCTCTGACATTGATCTACATAATAAATCATGTAATTGTAATTATAATAACAATAGTAGCAAGAAAGGCAAAGATAACGATGTGAAAGTGACAAATAATAATGTTGTGGCTGAGAGGAGCAAGAGGGCCAATGTTAAGTGAGTATTAATGGCTTATCAATTTGTTGCTTGTTGGTTAAGGTTACTTGAGATGTTCGCTTATTTTTTCACATCTTCGTCAGTTCGATTTCTATTAAGAATCCTCTTTCCAATTCAGTTTATGTTAGTGATCAGATAAAATTAGAATTAGGCAGGAAATCAAGTACAAACAGGAATACCTAAACATTTTAAGTTCATCAACTGTGTAACAAGAAAGATTTATACACAATAGTCTTGGTAGATTAAGGTCTCGATAGTCTAGTAAACCTCTGGGTTCGAATTCCACTAGAGACCGGTGTCTCAATCATTGGATTACAGGCACTGTTAGCACAAAGAAGACTTAACTTCAGTACAATCGTTTCCAAAATATTCTAAACATAGAAATTATTGCGTCTCTAAGCAATTCCTCCTTCATGCAACATCAAAATTAAGTAAACATTAAAGTTCATCGCTTCGAACATAAACGACATCTCATGTGAATAATATCCTCTTTGTTCCTTTATTTTACAGCAATTCATGTGACAGTGAAGGAAATCAATCATCATCTTCATCAACATCGACAACAGCAACATCGTCATTACCTCAATTAAGTAGTCCCAACTTCAGTGATAAGCTATTTCAGATGTTCAACAAAGCATCAACAATTTTCCACATCTTTGCGCTCTCGCAAATGAATTGCGCGAGTCAAAATGGCAAGCATTTTAGACGAAATGTTTTGAAAAAGACAACGAGAGGAAATCATTGGGGTGATATACGTGCTAAATTGGAAGTGGATATACAAGAGATATTGGCTTTAGTAAAGGTCATAAATATGACAGCCGAGAATGAGCGAACAATGAATAAGAGTCAAGATACGGATGCAGAAACGGAGGATGATGATGTTTTCATTGAGACGAGAACAAAAGCGACTGAGCCGCAGGGTGCTTCAACACGTAAACAAAGTCGATATCGGTCAAATTCATCGTCATCCTCAATCATGTTGCCACCACCATACAGCTTGACGAGCTCTTCCAAATCTGACGAATTAAAGACATTAAATATTGAATTAATAACATTAGTTAGGAAAAAATTCGCAGTGACTTTACAGAAATTAATTCAACATGGATTGCGTAGTGTTAATGAGTCACGTCATCTTGTGCCATTCATTGGGTGCTTCTACAATTTTCAACCTCCAAATAATAGCAACTTTAATAAAAATGGACATCATCAGTATCCCGATGAGGACTATAAAGACATGCATGCGTGGGAGTTAATTTTAGAATATTATCATACGAAAAATGGTGACTTTTATACGGAAACGCCTGCTCAAAAGCTTTCTCAGAGCTTCAATTTAGATATTGGCGATGGACTTACATCAAACAAACAGGTGAGTTTAGAGGATGGGAAAAATTTTGTTTACTGAGCTGCTTTATTCAAGGTCTATTTTGCAAAACAAATGTGCTTCATACTTTTTTCCTCCTTATCGGATCGTTACGAACGTCACTGTTGCGTAAAATCCATACATATTGAATATGAAAACAGATCCGTGAAAAGAAATAGATTGGATATGAATTTTTTGAGAAAGAGGATATAAATGATGAGGATAAAAGCTTTTAAGAAAATTGTTTGTTTTGTTGGACTAGCTCTAAGGTAGTCACGTTCTTGTGATTCATACTAAGGTGCGCGCAGTTCGTTTAGACGCACTTAATTTTTTTCAAATTTTCCTTTAATAAACACTATTAAGACAAAAACTATTTTATGTGTTTATAGCTATGACCAATTAGGTTATAAATATAATAAAAGTATCTGACTAAATGCTTTGCTTAAGTAATTAAAATAATTTTTTCAAAAATTACAACAACAAAGTGCGCAGTTCGTTTAGACGCACTTTGAAAAATCTAAAATTTTGTCTTATTTACGTTTCGTAGAAAACTTAATCGTTTCTAATATTAATCTATCAACAAAAACGAGTAATTACTGAGGGTTTTAGAATTTTCCATCAAGTTTTTCCAGAGATTTTCCTTCATTAAAGTTTTCATGTTGCAAAAATTTTGATAAATTATTTATCCAATAATTTTGCGTTAAATTATTATTCTTTTAACTGATTTCCATAGATAATTGTCCATAATATTAGAAAATTAACAGATATTTAAGCTTTCTTATAAGTATAAGGCGAAAATATGTGAAAAATATAATTATGGTGAAAAATTTCCACCACTCTCATAGATTAATCAACAAATTTTGACAAAACTGTAGATACCATAATAAATTTGAATAGACCAGCTTATTTATCGTATTAAACTTAGTTAAAAACAGAAAACTGCACAGCTCTATGGCTAATGGAACTTGAAAATTTTACTGAAAAATTAAGTTGTGGTGAAAAAATTTCACCATAGAAAAATAAAATTTTAAAAAACGTTGTTTTAGGCAATTGTTTCATTTAAATTAGGTTGTAAAAGTGTTTCTGTCTCAAAATTAATCAATTTAAAACATGAATTAAAACCTTAGACATTGTTTTTTTAAAATTTTATTTTTCTATGGTGAAATTTTTTCACCACAACTTAATTTTTCAGTAAAATTTTCAAGTTCCATTAGCCATAGAGCTGTGCAGTTTTCTGTTTTTAACTAAGTTTAATACGATAAATAAGCTGGTCTATTCAAATTTATTATGGTATCTACAGTTTTGTCAAAATTTGTTGATTAATCTATGAGAGTGGTGGAAATTTTTCACCATAATTATATTTTTCACATATTTTCGCCTTATACTTATAAGAAAGCTTAAATATCTGTTAATTTTCTAATATTATGGACAATTATCTATGGAAATCAGTTAAAAGAATAATAATTTAACGCAAAATTATTGGATAAATAATTTATCAAAATTTTTGCAACATGAAAACTTTAATGAAGGAAAATCTCTGGAAAAACTTGATGGAAAATTCTAAAACCCTCAGTAATTACTCGTTTTTGTTGATAGATTAATATTAGAAACGATTAAGTTTGGGGCTGTTCACTTATTACGTAACGCGAAAAAATGACTTTTTAGACCCCCCCCCCCCCCCCCCCTCGTAACAAAATTTGTATGAAAAAAAAATTTCCTTGTTTGAACCGTAACAAAATCTTAGACCCCCCCTCCCCCCCTAAAAGCGTTACGTAATAAGTGAATGGCCCCTTTTCTACGAAACGTAAATAAGACAAAATTTTAGATTTTTCAAAGTGCGTCTAAACGAACTGCGCACTTTGTTGTTGTAATTTTTGAAAAAATTATTTTAATTACTTAAGCAAAGCATTTAGTCAGATACTTTTATTATATTTATAACCTAATTGGTCATAGCTATAAACACATAAAATAGTTTTTGTCTTAATAGTGTTTATTAAAGGAAAATTTGAAAAAAATTAAGTGCGTCTAAACGAACTGCGCGCACCTTATTTCCCGCCAACACAAAATTAGCTTTTTCTATGCTTCTGAAAATTCTATACATAGAACCGTCTGAACTAGTTTCATTCATGACTTTCCTGTTGCTTTTTTGCAGTATCATGTTCGTAACACATAATCAGATATTAATAGATATTGTATGTGCGTATATAAATCGTAAATCGACAATGAATGTATTTTTATGTAGCAAGCATAGATGATATATTGGAGTCAACTTTTCTGTGGGATGAACATTATGGATCGTAATTTCAATACAAATGTAATGCAGATTGTGTACAATGCAGTGGTGAACAACCTTTTACGGGTCATATCATATGTTCCCACATGAAAAATTTTAAGGCACAACTGAGTATCCTCTACAAATCTCACGGGTGCCTTGATACACAGGTTAGACACCACTGGCGCTATAAAAATGCAATGGAATATTAAACATTAGTATGTTAGGAACACTGACGAACTTACACAATCAGCATTTAAAGGAACTATAGTATTGATTAATGGTATTTAATTAAGAGTTTAGCGTCAATTTACATCTCATGTCTGCTGCTTTGTTCTCAGAGTTGTCAGATCTGTATCAATGGAGCTTATGTCCTTTACTATGTATCATTGTTTTGTAAGCATGTTTAGGCACCCTACATTTCATAAATCGTGTACATATTCATGGACGCTTAGTCAAAGACAAATCTTTTTCCAAACTTTAAAATCTATAGATTTCAAGGTTCCTTAAAAATTCTAAAAACATCATAAAAGGATTGAACTATTTAAAACCTTCCATCAAGCTCTTTACCAATCTAAATTTCATTCAATTCTTTCTTCATTTTAACAAGAACTCAATTACTTTTTATCGTGTCTTCTATGATACCTTTCTAGCATCTTATCAGCAATCTATATAAACTAGTGTATCGGGTAGAAACCCAATGCGGATATATTCACACCGTACCATCAAAAGTCTTATGGATAGACCAAGATTTGCTCAGCATAAGTTTGAAGGGAGGGTTTAAAGTACGGCCGAGACCCATATCGACACAGTTCAAAAGTTAAACCTAATTTATGTCATAATTATGTCAGCTACAGAAACACTTATTTTGAATTTTGTCACCCTCGGGAACACTATGAACCAGTTTAGCTGATTTTGGTCCAAATCTCGGCCATACTTCACACTTATTTGAACCACATTTTCTCGTAAATGTTAAAATATTATTAAAAAGTAATTAATCCTGAATTATGTCACTATTTTCTCAAGTGTTTTAAGATAAAGAATTTGTTTTTTGGTTTCCACAGTGAAGAGTATGAACAAAATTCAGATGGGGTAGTCGAAATTTTAGATTTCGATTTTTTTAAGCTATGCATTACAAAAAGTAATATTGGTATGTGATTTATGTCAGAATTATGTCAATTCAAATAAAACATCCAAAAAATTTTTTTGAGCAAAGAACCAAGTAGGAAATACATTTTTAATTATGAACTTGGGACAGGTCCAGTCAAAATCTAGTTTTTCACTTTTTTCCCTTCGAGGATAAATCCAAATACAGTAAAACTTTGTATGAGCATTCTAATCCTCAGGTCACACATTTCTGAATTAATAAATATCATTTTTTGGACAAAATTTTAAGTCACGTTGTTTTTGAATGTACAACCAAATTTATAAAATTTGGGTCTGAAAACATATTTACATTTCTTGCTTTAGATATTTAAAACTGTTTTGTATAAATATTAGTATACTCACACAAAGTTTCACTGTAATTGGATAAACCTTCGAAGAAAAAAAGTGACAAAATTGATTTCTACTAGGGTCGCCCCTAGTCCAAAATTGAAAATGTATTTCCTACTTGGTTCTTTGCTCAAAAAAATTGTAGGATGTTTTATTTGTATTTGTTTTAAGCACTAAAATATTTATGCAAAGTTTTAATCTATTTGAAAAAACCCTCGAAGAAAAAATTGACAAAATTGATTTTGACTAGGGTCGCCCCTAGTCCAAAATTGAAAATGTATTTCCTTCTTGGTTCTTTGCTCAAAAAAATTTTAGGATGTTTTATTTGTGTTTGTTTTAAGCACTAAAATATTTATGCAAAGTTTTAATCCATTTGTATAAACCCTCGAAGAAAAAAGTGACAAAATTGATTTTGACTAGGGCCGCCCCTAGTCCAAAATTGAAAATGTATTTCCTTCTTGGTTTTTTGCTCAAAAAAATTTTAAGATGTTTTATTGGTATTTGTTTTAAGCACTAAAATATTTATGCAAAGTTTTAATCCATTTGAAAAAACCCTCGAAGAAAAAAGTGACAAAATTGATTTTGACTAGGGTCGCCCCTAGTCTAAAATTGAAAATGTATTTCCTTCTTGGTTCTTTGCTCAAAAAAATTTTAGGATGTTTTATTTGTATTTGTTTTAAGCACTTAAATATTTATGCATAGTTTCAATCCATTTGGATAAACCCTCGAAGAAAAAAGTGACAAAATTGATTTTGACTAGGGTCGCCCCTAGTCTAAAATTGAAAATGTATTTCCTTCTTGGTTCTTTGCTCAAAAAAATTTTAGGATGTTTTATTTGTATTTTTTTTAAGCACTAAAATATTTATGCATAGTTTCAATCCATTTGGATAAACCCTCGAAGAAAAAAGTGACAAAATTGATTTTGACTATGGTCGCCCCTAGTCCAAAATTGAAAATGTATTTCCTTTTTGGTTCTTTGCTCAAAAAAATTTTTTCTATCCAAAGTTTAATTTAAAATAAAAAAAAATCACAGTAAACTTTTGTTTTAAAACATTAGTAAGTAAGGAAAGTTTTTTGCTTTTTCTAAAGCAACGGCTTTTCGTACCTTGCCCAAAAACAATACAACTCTTCTATAGAGCAGCACGGATCAAATGTAAAAAACTAGAAGTCTCTACGATGTCTCGGTATTGAGATTTCTTGCTGATTAACTTGCTTGTTTGCTTGTTTGCTTGTTTGGTTGCTTACAGAAAGCATATTTTGCGATTTTCTCAGCAATGCCGCAACCAATTTGAAATCTGTTTTTTGCAAAAGATGTGAAATTCAAGGCACAAACTTTTCATCTCTGAACATTTTAAGCTATCTTGCTCCATATCCTCACAAAATTCTAAAAACTTTTTCATTCTGAACAAAACCAATAGATTCACACGTGAAAACGGTGTGAATATAATAAATAAATCATCATCAAAAGGTCAATTTATTTGAAAGACAACTTTTTATTTCTTTTCATTCTAGACTTTTTTATTGGCTATTCGAAATATTATCAACCTTCACAGTCCCTACAAGAGAAGTTATAATTCACATTTTAAGGCATTCGTTTGTGCTGGATTAAAGTAAGTTTTCATAAATAAATTATTCAGCTAAGGAATTTTTTAAATATTTAATTTAAATTTTTATTACACAGCTCACACAAACTTGTACAGTGGCTTAATCTAATCTTTCAAAGTCATGATCTGGTGTCAACATACTACACTCCATGGAGTTATGTTGCTCAAACAGGCTTCCGAGATGCTCTCAAGTCTATCGATCAGTTATCGAAATTAGAGTTTTACGATTTACCAGTTGATTTGGCTGTTAGGAATTTAGCGAACATCAAGGATGTGTTTTAGTAAGAAAAGCGAGGGAAATTTCATGATCAGCATTAATTTATGTTTTGATGAATTATTTTTAAGTGAATAGAGAATCAGTATTTGTTAAAATTATTTTCTGTAAGTATGAATTGAAGGTTAAAGGTTAGGTTGGGAATTTTGAGGTTAGTAAATTAATGTCCAGTGTATCTGAATGGAACATAGTCGCAAAAGCTTTTTTATTGTTGATTAAGAATTGTGTTGTCCAAACTTTTTTGAGCCACGGCAAATCTTTCGGGTAAGCCATTCCCAAAGTCGCACACAGCATGCGGCACCCGCCTGTTACAAAAAATTTCTACGGTACACCAGTGTGCCGCGGCATACAGTTTGGACAACACTGAACTAGATCAATGTTAATTCTCTGGATTTGCACACAACGTAGTAAATTCAGTTAAGTGTCAAAGTAAAGAACTTTGCTGCAGTCTCTTTAATCGAAGCTCTCTGATCAACTTCATTAAATAGACTACTGAAAATTTCAGACAGTACCATGGTATGGTTTTATGAAGTCAACCTTTGATCCTTACACTACAGAGCGGGTTTTTTCAAAAATAATTTAAAACCAGAGACTTTGTCTAGAACCATTCTTACCTAGTTCAACAGCATGCTTTTTACCCAATAAAACAAAACTATACGACTATGTATCATTCGTAATTTGAAGATACTTTAACACCCATCACAAAAATAAAAGATCCACAAAAAATTCACCAACATTAACCTACAAAAAAATGGATAATGCCAGCTATCTACAATGGTAATGACTAATTTAAATGTAAATTCTATAACATTTGGTATGTCTACTTCTTTAAATTCCTTTTTCGTCCCCTGAGTTAAATGGATATTGAGTTAATGGACAACAAAATGTCATTGTCAATCTCAAACCTAATAAAATGAGGCATGATTTAGAAGATAAACGCAAAATTTATCAATTCGAGAGCATTTTTTTCAAGATTTAAGGTCTCCTTCTTGAGGGAATTTGAGATTATTTCCGAGACAAAAAAACATTGGGCAAAATTCTTAGTGACTGATGCTGCTTCTTCTTAAGACGAAATGTTTGAAGTATTTTATTACAAACTTTACATCTCATCTTTCAGCATAAGCTCCTTGAAGAAAATGCTTAATGTTTTCCATTAGAAACTTTTCGTGTCTTGATAAATTTACCATGATATGATTTTGTTCTCGTAAATTAAGGAGCAAATTTGCTGAAAATGTCAAGAATAAAAAGCACGTTGCTTGTTTTTTTGACATTTCGGATGCATGGGTGTGAAGCGAGAGAAAAGAAAGCTCTTGGCTTGAATTTGCAGCTTTAATTATATACATTTAGATTCTTAATGCGGTGCTTCTCAATTTTGGTGGGTTGGTTTCCATAAAATTGTGATTCTAAAGGCCTTCGAATTCTTAGTAACCCCAATACTTGGAATTTGAATCCTTAACAAACCATTTCAAGTACAGTAATTAAGTGTGCCGTAGCCCACAGCTTGAGAAACGCTGCAACATCATGAAGACTTGTAATTCTCAAAAATAATTCGTTATTTTCTCTTCTTGGAATCTAATAAGCAACTCAAACCTATCTCAATTTCCACCACATGCTTATCTTCTTAAAATGCTGCTTCTTCCATCATTTTTCAACCGAAAAAAAAATTTTTGCGAAAATCCTAATTAGAAAATTTTTATCCTCAAAGATTCTTAATACCCAAATGATTAAGCGATTAGCTCATTAATCCATCAAAACTCAGAACCTTCCAAGAACTTAATTTTAGATCATATATTTCCTTTTGATTAATTATGAATATGAATGAACAATGGAAAGGCAATCAAGAAAACGGAGATTCAGGAGATGCATTAGATATATCAACATGAAGATGATGACAAAAAAAATCAATTATTTATTCGTAAAAGTAATCAAAAATAGCATAATTAATTATATTAAAGATTTATATCTACATATTATATTAATTATTTGCAAATGAATGAGAGAAAATTTGGCGGGAAAAATAATTTGTCATGATTGAGACTAATTTATTAAAAAGTCAGGCTAGGCAGGTATGGATTGAAAAAGGTTTTGTAGATGAGTTTGAGAGAGTTGATGATTTTCATGATATAGCGAAATTGGATCTAATGTTTTGAGTCACAAAATGCCAAATCTGACAAACTTCTACATTCGAGTGTAAATCTAGAATCTTCTCTTTTGTGAAGATGTGTGATCGATTCCCATCAAAGTCGATATTTTAGATGAAATGCTGACAAGGATTTATACTTTGTTCATGACATCAACTCCTCTTCTTCTACTTAACCTGTACCCCTGTCGCAACTTAATCAGCCATAAATGACTTCCTAAAATTTGACAAATCTTCCCAATGATTTATCGAATTGCAAATTAAATCTTAAAAAGCAAAAAGTCAAGTCGGCTTCTGCTAATTGAAGTCATGTGGCTACTCAATAGGCCAAGCATTTGACCATTGCCAAATTTAAGGTTCAATAGATTGTTAAACGATGAAAGAATTAACGCGAAAACTATTTGATGCCCTCCTTATAGTATTTTTAAAGAGTATTTCTAGCATGTTTATTTAGGGATATGAGGAAGCTTTTTGACCTTGAGAGTCCCAGGAATAATAATAAAAAAAAAAATATTAAAGTTGCATTAACTTAAATAAATACTGAGAAATAAAAAGTATAAAAAATAGATAATGAAAGTGATGATTGTAAAAATGTTAAGAATTGAGCTTTATAAGTGACAAATGATCCTATTCATAAAATATGGAAAAATCCTTGGTTTGAGGGTGGAAAACTTTTGGATGTGGGAGTTGAAGATGCTCTCGTGATTCATTAATAATTTTGTATTTTTTTCTTCTATTTCTTTGAAGTTTTAAAGGTTAATGAATTCTAGAGTTAGTTTTGTGATGATAAATTTGATTCGCTTGTGCAAACTTGAACTCGGATGACATTTACTTGGAGTTGATTAATCTTCCCAAGATCTTTTGTATATTTTAGACATAAAATATCATTTGGCTGCCTTGCAATCGCCTAAATCACGTTGACACTATTAAATAAAAATTTAAATTTAAACATAGATAAAGTTTTTGGTAATTAGTCAAATTGAAATCCAAAAGTTTCCCGTCCTGAACTGCATTCTTTTAACTTAAAAAAAAAAGCATTAAACAAAATTTATTGGCGCTAAAAATATCTTTCAAAGGATTATCGTCAATATACATTATACAAACACTTAACATAATTATTATACCTTATTATATATATGATGACATTATGACGACATTTTCCTGTAAAAATTGTAAATTATTCTGATAGTATGATACTTATATTGGTCTTTGTGCTGATGTTATTAGGAATTTGATGGAATTGATGCAAAACATTGAAAAAGTTCAAAGATCTTAGTTTAAATATTAATTTTCAATTTTTGATAATGTTTTGATTGTTTAAATCAAGAGCAGACGTTTTAGCCGTAGAAAGCAGCAAGCGCTGTAAACTAAGCTGCCATGAATGGTATTTTTTGATATAGAAATGTGTCTTGGGCCTAGCTTTTAACTCAGCCAGGTCAACTTGTCACATTTAAATCTAAGCTAATAAGTAAAACAACTCTCAAAAACTTAATAATTTTTATAATTTTACCCTCTAAAACTCAGACATCAAAAATAAAATTAAAGAATATTTCACAAATACCTAAAAGCATCAATCACAAGACCTTGTAAATTTTCACAAACAGTGCGAAAACTTTCAATTTCAGAGACTCCCCAAAACTGAAATTTGAAAAAATTCTCTGAAAATAAAATAAAAAATTGCAAGCAAAAAATAAAATTGTTGAATTTTTTTTAAATTTTTTTCCTTTATTTCTTCCATTGTTTTTATGAAATGCATAATTTAATTTAATTAAGAGTTTTACACGTTAAGAGCGATTTTTACAAGTTTTTTTTTTCATTTCATTCATTTTTATCAAATATGAATTTTCTAGTTATCATCAGCAGATTACATTTTCTTTCTCAATCCCAACAAACATTATTCATTATTATTTTTTAATTATTTTTTTTTTTCATATTCTATATAGATTGATGCCAATCAACATCACATCAACAGCAGCCCGAATATTTTTTTTTAATTCAATTATTTTGTATGTCTGAAAATTTACTCACTCGACGATATCCACCACAAATACCATTAGTCGATTGAATAAATTTTCATCCTTTCCACAAACTTTTTTTTTCCTCTTCTTAAATGTACTTGAAAGTTTTCTTCTTCCTCACATTTTTTTCTTTTTTTAATTATAAACACAAAAAAATGAAAGAACTTTTTCTTTTTTTTTCCTTATCACAGCTTCCAAAGTAAATTTTACTTTAAAATCGTAAGAAAAATCAATCATAAAAAGAGAATGACGTTCTATGGCTTCCAATAGTGGAAGTCCATTATAATGATGGTGAGATACGATGTAGGAGGGTTTCATAGGCAAAATTATAACAAAATTTGCTAGGATAAGTTAGAAACTTGAGCTTTTTGGTCTTGTGCAGACTAGGGTTAAGGTCTCAAAAATACTGAGAACCCAGTCAAGCTCAATATTAGTTTCTAGTTGATATTTTAAGAACGAAAGCTTAAATTGAGTTTTTGTAAATTTCTTTAGGATTAGATTTAGATTTTATGAGCTTAAAATTCTCATTTTGTTATAAAGTCAGAGTTGCACCATCCAGATTATTGAAAATGTTTAAGTTATTATTTGAAATTTCTTCTTAAAGGTTAAAATTTTCAGGAATTAATGAAGTAATTTCAAAATTCAAGCTTCAAAAAGTTAGAAGATTTTCAATTTACTTCAAAATCTACCTGTCAATTTTCACCAAAAAAATAAATTACAGAAACTCAACTTCTCTTCTGCTTTTTATGTTGATACTCAAAAAATAAATTAATGAGTTGTGAGAATATTTATTATTCATCATAATAATGAGGAGGGGATAGTTAAAATGAGAAGCACTCAACGCTGCCTCAAAAAAAAACACTAAAATATTTACCATAATAATAATTATTTCTTATTATTATCATTATTAAATCAATTATTTTCGATACTAAGAACAAGCGTAATGAATTGTGATTAATAATTTTTTTTAAAAAAAAGGGAAAATAATTTTCTAGAATTTTTCTTAGGGTCGATCCAACTATGTCACGATAGAAATCAGCAGCTTTTTGTGCCATTGAATTTTATTTCAATTTTTTGAATCATCTTTAAAGGATGAGAAAGTTTTTACTTTTGTTTGTTTTCAGTCTCGATGCGACAAAATTTAAAATATATTCTTTTTAAACTATGAAAATTTATTTCACATTCTCACAAATTTTCATTTTTCTAAGGAGTCACTTATGACGTCCATCATTTAAGTGTAAGTGAATATCAAGAGTTGTGAAACATAGATTTATTTTAAATTAAATTTTTTTGTGACAATGAGGAGTTGGGAGGTCTACAAAATCTAAATTTTGATGGACGTCATAAGTTAAGGATCCCCAAGACTACGTTAAAAGATAAAATTTACATGATTTATATTCTTATTGATTAAGAAGGAAAAGTTTTGAGGAGATTTTTTAACCTCAAAAATTTAATTATTTTTTACAACGTACGAGGAAAATTAAGAAAAGTGTATTATTAATAACTCATGTCACTATGGCGTAGCCAAATGTTTGTGCCATTTTAAAAGCTCTCATCTCTCTTTGGCTATACCTTTGACATGTCCTAAACCTGATTGAACAGTGAAAAGAAGAGAATTGTTAAATCTTATTAATATCATAACGTTAATTTACATCTAATTTCACTTTCTTTTCATCAACGTCTTAATTATCATCTTTTGTACACGAATTAAAAGTTATTTGAATTTAAATTAATTTAAAAGATTTCAAATTTTTCTTTGAAAAATTGTATTTTAATTTACAATCTAAGAATGATAAGAATTTTCTTTATTATAAAATAAATTACTATCATACCTTAATTTTAGATTTTAAATGTCCCTAGTTCATGTCATGAAATTTAATTGGACAGATTTTTTGAATAAAAATTTCATGGCATTATCTCGAGACATTTATGGATTATTATTTTCTATCAGTTGAATATTTTTCCTTACAAAAAAAAACAACAACACGAAGGTGTGAAATTTTTAAGGGATTTACTAGTTTTGAAATTTCTAAATTCGATCTAAATCATGAATGATAAATACATCTGCATGATGAATATCTTTTAAAAAAATTATTTTACAAATTATTTAATTACAAAATTCTCAAGTGAGAATTATTTTCAAAAATTATTCAAAAAAAGTTTCTCAAAAGCATTTCCAATATTATTTTTTTCGAGATCTTCAAAATTTTTTCACAAATTTGTCATAAATCTTTTTTTTTTTGAATTTTCGAAACTTTCTAATTTTAAATTTTTTTTTCAATTTTCTGAATTTTATAATAAAAAAGTTTGACGAACTCTTGCTGCACAATTATTTTTAATCCTTCCTTCAGTGCATTCGTCTCCTTGTTGGTTTTTGTCATTCAATTTCTTTGTTTTCAGAATTTGATGCATTTTGTGCTTCAGCAGCTGCTTGTTGTTGTGCTAATTTTGCTTCAGCGGCCATTCGAGCAGCAGCTGCAGCTGCTAATCGACCAGCACTGGATCTTAATTCACGCTTTCGTTCTGGAACTGCTACTTCCATATCTTCACCACTTCGAGGGCGTTTTGAGCGTGTACGACGAGTTGATCGTCTGTCGCTTTCATCACTTGTATTTTCCTCTTGTTGATTTTGATCCTGTTCCTTACTTGAATCGTCAGATTTTTGTGATTGTGTATGTTGTTGTTTCTGTTCAGCTGGCTGCTCATCGACCTGCAATTCACCTCCTTTTGAGACTTTTGAATGTTCAATTAAATCTTCAATATCCATGTTTGGATCATGAGCATGATGTTGTTGTTGTTGTTGCTGTTGTTGTTGCTGCTGCTGTTGAGGTGGAGGAATAGGACGAGGTTCTTCCTGTTTTGGTTGTGGAACTGGCTCAGAAATTGACATTTTTAAATTCTCAGCACGTTCTACATTACGCTCACTGCGTTCAATTCGTTCTTCACGTTCCTTTGTTGTTGACAAGTTTGTTGGCTGTTCACGTGCCTTTGGTGAATGATGTGAGGAACGCTCAATATTATGTTCTCTTGACGAATCACGTTCAGAACGATCCTTTGAAGAACTTGTTGAAGTACGTTCATTAGAACCAGATGGTGTTGCCAATGAAATTGTTGTCTGTGATGGCAATGATGCACCAATACTTGCTGCTGAAACGGGTGTCAATGTGACTTTATCTTGTTGTTCTTGATGTCTATCTCTTGTACTTTCATTCGATCTTGTTGAACGTGGCGATGCTTTCATGTCATCATGTGCATGTGAATGAGATCTCATTTCATTCGATGATTTTGATGAAGTCGGTGTTAATGAAATTGCAGCTGCAGATGATGAAGTATCTTGACGCATTCTCTTCGATTCATGCATACTTGATGCAGATGATGTTGGAATTAATGAGATATTTGGTCCAACACCTAAGCTACGTGCAAGCATTTCAACTGGATTCTTACTCATTTGTTCAAATGCTTCTTTCATTTCTTGTTCACGTGCTCTCTTTGAAGATGATGATGATGAACCTCCGCCGACTGCTGCAGCAGTTTGAGCCATCATTTCTGCAAACAATGCTTGACTAAAGTCAGCTGGCAATGGTAATGGAATATCCTTTGCTGAGCTCTTCGATGATGATGATGGTGAAGATGTAGACATGCCAAGACCTGGTGGCATTTTTGCTAATGCTTGCATTGTTGCAAAATCAGTTGGGAATCCATTTCTAGTCAATGATTCCAACAACTTTCTACGATCACGTTCTAATTTCTCCATTGCCTCTTTATTGGCTTGTTGTGCTGCATTACTGCGCTTATCTTGAGAGCTTGATTGATTACTTGATCTGTTATTACTCTGACTAATATCAAGACCTGTTGCTCTTGATAATGATTCAAGCAAGTGTGTATCATGTGGCAATAATAATGATTGCAATTGTGCATCTCGTGCAGCAGCTGATGACATTGAATTCATAGCACTTGAAGAATTACGAGAACTCTTACTACTTGGTGATGATGTCTGTTGATGTCCTGATGAACTACTTAAAGCAGCAGTTCTGGATGAAGAACTTGAAGATGTATTTGTGTTCTTATTTGATGCTTGACGTGATGATGATGTATTAGTAGTTTGTGTCGATGATCCACTCATTCCAGCACCATTTAATAAATTACATTGTTGTGCCAATTGATCATATGCAGACATTCCACCTGGCATTGAGTACGGATTTAATCCACTCAGACCCAATGGAGTATACAATAGACTCGGATTTGGGAAAAAGAATGGGAAAGCTGGATTATTTGCCAAATTTGCAGCAGCTTGAGCTGCAGCCTGTGATGCAGAACTAGACGATTGTTTAGATGAGCTCGAAGATTGTTGCTGTTGTTGTGATGATGACGAGTCAGTAGATTTTCTTGCTTTATTTGAACTGCTTTGATTGCTTGAAGGACTCTGGGTTGATCCAGAGGTAGCCCCAAGAGATTTAGCAAGTGCTGTTGGATCTAAACTTGCTGCAGCCATAACAGCAGCTAGACTTTGTGCATCCATTCCTGCAAGTCCACCAAGTGCAGCAAGATTTCCAAACAAATTCATGTTATTCATATTATTCATATTACCCATGGACCCTAGTCCAGGCATTCCAGCAAATGGCATCATCGATGCAAGTGGATTCTTTGGATCAAAACCTCCCAAACCTGGTAAGCTTGATAATAAGTTAGCATTCAAACCAGCAAGACCTTGGAAATTAGCCATATTAGCAGCAGCTGCGGCTGAAGCACTTGCTGAGCTGCTTGATTGCTTCTTATTAGCTGATGATGATGATGAAGATCCAGCTGCGTTTTGAGACGAATTTCCATATTGATTCGAGCTTGATCCAGAACGATTCATTGATGCATTAGATGAAGATTGTGTCTTTGACATTGTCATTTCATTTGAATGTGATTGCTTTTCTCTCATTGATGATTGAGATGAAGATGTTGAAGCTGATGGCATTGTCAAACTCTCTGTCCATTTAGGATCAATTTCGTACATTGGATTTTCCTTAAGCCATTGTGATAAGCGTTTAAGTTGTGGAGCATTTCTTCCAGTTATACGCTTGCCAGTAACTTTATGTACTACACTAACATTTTCTTCTCCTGTCAAGCTATTCCAATTTATGTTTGCCATAGCATTAGCATCAGCATTTGATGAACTTGATTGACTGCTTCTTTGTCTCGAATTATTAGATTGATTATTATTACCAGATGACTGATGACTTGATTGTTGTTGATGTGACTGTTGTGAAGATGAACGTCTATTAGATGATTGTGACTGTGATTGTGATTGTGATGTGGAACCGCCAGATGCTGCAGCAGCTCTTGACAAATATTCCATATTCAATGCTTGTTCAGTCAATGCTGCAGTTTGTTCTGCCAACCATTTATTAACTTTTGCATCTTGAACACCACCAGAACCATAACTTCCCAACTTGGAACTAAGTTCTAATGCTTGCTTCATTTCATTAAACATAGCCTCATAAGCCTTTCGTTGAGGAGAATTAGCAGGAATTGACTGCAAAATCTTTTGTTGTTGTTTCAAGAAAGCTTGTTGTTCAGCCTGAGCTGCTTGCAAGATCATTGCATTCATACTGTCCTTTGAAGACATTCCACTCATATTTTGTAAAGCAGCAATGCCTGATGTTCCAGATGCTGACTGTGATGATGATTTTGAAGAGCCTGAAATAGAATTAAAACCGTTAGCATTTATGGAATCAATACAGACGCTAAAAGAGTTCCCAATACAATACTCACTCTTGCCTGGAACACTTGTAACAGTTATTGTGAATGGCTTTTGATTGCTTTGTTGTTGTGACTGTGATGGAGCATTTGTTGGTGTAACAGAAACGCTTGGTGTAACTTGTGGTTTTTTAGAAGATGAATGTGACAATCCTGGATCTCCAAAAACTGATTTTTGTTCCTTAGATGCCGAAGATGCTGACAATCCCATAACAATTTCATCCAACTTCCTTCTTTTCTTCTCTTTGCTTAATGGTTCTGTTTGTTGTTGTTGTTGCTGCTGTTGCTGTTGTTGTTGATTATTATCATCCATTGCGATATTGTTCTTTTTCATTAATTTTGAAAGCATGTCATTAAGTTTTCCTTTTCCAGCAGCACCAGCTAATGCTGATGTTGGTGATGTTTGTGGATGTGGATTAGAGCCTCTGCTTTTACCCATCGAAAAATCTTGAACTTCACTCATGTCACCAAGTTGTGCTTGTGGTTTACGTAAAATGTCAGCAATGCGCATTTTTGGTAAGCTTGATGATAAATCAATTGGTGTTAATGTACTGGAGGTTCCAGGAATTGTAACAGTTGGTTTATATTGATTTATTGATCCACGAGAACCTCCATGCTGATGTGCTGGTGGTGGTTGTAATGATTGCCCACCACTTGAGGAACGTCTTCCTTCTTGTTCATCTTCATGATAAGCTGAACCTTTCTGTCCTTGACTTCCAACTGGAACTGTATTATTTAACAAAGCATGTAGCTTAGCACGTTCAGTTTCAACATCGATGGCGATGTGACGCTTTTGACCTTTGCCCTTGCCTTTTGTAGCCATAGAATCGACCATACTTTGCATTTGTGATTGCAATTGATTAGAAAGTTGTGATTTACTCATCTGATGATGATCAGTGGTAATTGTAATGATATCTGGTGTGCTTGAGCTTGAACGCTTATCAGCATTAAGACGTTTAACTGTCTCATAAAGTGGCAAGTCTAAATCAATACCTAGACAGCCTGAATATGCAGAATATGATTTTCCAACAGGCCATGTGCCTTTTTCAACACAATAAATTATGTGACTAATGCGCTTTTCAAGTGCAAATTCACGGAACCATCTGACAATCATTGATGTATCAAAGACACGAGATAGTGCCTTTAAATTGTCCTTGACATCACCCTTTAATAACATTGAATCGAGTTGCTTCAACTTCATTAAAGGTTGGAATATTTCCAAGTCAGGGAAACGAGCACGTAATTCTGCTGCATGTTTAGATGTTGATTCTGGTTCTAATGTTGGTTTTTCAGGAAGTGTGTCATCATCATCAATAACAACAGTGTCAATAATTTTAGGTTCTCCTTCAGGACGCTCTTGTTTGATTTCAATTGGCTTCTCTTCTATCTTTTCTTCAACTGATGATTTTTCTTCATCTTCAGACTTTTCAGCGATTTTAACTGGTGATTTTGGAGTTTCAATTTCTTCAATAACCTTTTCTGGTTCTGATTGTTTGTCTTCTTCAATCTTTGGCTCATCCTTATCTTCCTCGACTTCTTTAACTTCCTCTAATTCTGATTCAATTATTGGAGTCGATTCTTCTGGTGATTCAACTTTGGGTACTTCATCAACTTCCATTTTTTCTTCGGTCGATTCCTTTACTTCATCTGTTGATTCCTCAGATTTTTCATCAACTTCCATTTTCTCATTTAAAGACTTTTCATCAGCTGATTCTGATTTTTCATCTTCTTTTGTTAGTTCCAATGGAATTTCTGGTTCAACAGTGAGTTCCTCAACATCCGACTTTTCTGGTGATTTTGGCAGTTCTTCTTCAACTTTAGCTGAATCATCGATAAGTTTCTCTTCTACTGGCTTTTCAATTTCCTTTTCTACTGATGGTGCTTTAATGTCCTCCTTTGCCTTTTCTACTTTTGGAATTTCAACTTTTTCTTTTACTTCTTTTGGTTTTTCGCTAGCTTTTACTGGTGCTGGAATCTCTCCCATAGCAAATTTGAACAAATCAGCTGGATTATCAAACTTGAATGATTTAAGAATCTCTAAGCTCTTAATATATCGCTTTTCAGCTTCAGCAAATGGAAAATCTGGATCATTAAGAATATACTGATCTGATCTATACAATCCATATTTCAAAACAGCACGAATAAGTTCACGATCATGTTTGCCTGACTCCCACCAATCTGGTGTATCCAAATTATTTTCACATAGCTTCAAACGCTCATCAAGTTTTGGATGTTTGGCAACTTCACGAAGTTTCGAGAGTAATTCGAGACGATCAAGGATAAGTTTGGCATGGTCTTCGCCAATATCATCGATAATTCCTTCTAAGCCCTTCTCTTCTTCAAGAAGCTTTTCGCCTGCTTGTCGTTTGCACATAGCAATGAATACCTTATAATAATCACTAAGATTCTCATCGGTTTTCTTATCAAGCTTTGCAAATGTCTTGAATCTGTGAGTAAAACATGAAAGAATTATAAATTTATAAAATCTATAAAAGAGAAAAAGAATCCACAAACTTACCTAGACCAATCAGGCATCGGAACTGTTGTGTGCTGTTGTAAATCAATTCCATAACCAGTAAGTACACGTAGGAATTCGTTTTCATCACGTCGAGTCCATCTTTTCGGAATTTGTTCAAATCGTGTTTTTTCCCGTTCACGTACAACTTGTTCAATTTTTTCACGTCGTTCCATTTTCTAGAAATTTTCATTAAGGAATGGGAAATTTTATTTGTGTTCAATTTATGTGGAAGAGCAAGCTAAGGATAATAATTCTAAAGCTACTTTGACATATTCAGGTAAAACCTGAAGCTAATGACCACCGACAATAAAAGACAAATACTCAGAAAATCAACTTAAAATAAATCACAAAACTTCTACATTCTGCGTCTACATAATTCATGATTAAACTACAATTTACTAATAGACTCATTCAATAATTCTACTAAGCATTGCCAATTATATTTATTTTCATGTGCCAATTGAGCGCGTTTTGTCTCGAATTGAAAATTTTGAAAAAGTGATTTAAAATTTATTTTTTTTTTTGAAAAGAAAGCTCGCAGCAGAATTAGAGGTGTAGATGAGCATTTAAAATTAAAATTCGACAGGTTTGTGTAGGTGAGCGAATATATCAAAAAAGCGAGAAATAAATGACAGGTAGAGAGAAATTAGACACGATAAAAATAAATACTAACCAAATACATCGCAAGTTTCTGTAAGTCAAGGTTTGCTAATTGTGATGCATCAAGACCGCCCATGCCCAAACTAAGCAACAAACTTATGTCAGCAGCCGATGGCATTGGTGGTACTTGTGACTGTTGACTCATCTTCATATTTGTTTGTTGCTGTTGAGCGAGTGATGCAGCCATTGCAGCCGATGAATATGAAGTGCTTGGTGTTGGATTATTAGCATTCATATTTCCTGAATTATTTGTTCCACTCTGTCCCGGTGGTACAATAGATTGCAACTGGAGATTTTAATGAGATTTTTGGGAATTTTTGAGGAAGAAAAATTTATTTAAAATTATTTTTTCGTTTAAAAAAAGTTTTGTTTTTGATGGATGAGGTGAAAGTTTTTGTAATTTGTGTGAAATCCCTAACGTAACCCTCTAATGGTGAATCAATATTTGATGATAATCAGGCACTCGCATTCATACAATCCCATTCATAATTCAAAACTACACAATTCACATGTCTACATCATTAAAAAAAAAAGAATCAATTGTTGGATTTTCATGCAAATTAAAAAATCATAATCAACCAATTATGTGTGCACAACTCTCATCAGACTTCAATATTGAAATAATTAATCAAAATTTAATTATAATCATCGCTAACATTACATTACATGTGAATTCCCCTAATGTAAAATATATGATCAATGAATGACTACATGATATGTCTAAAAATATCCTTACCTTAGCTTTCTGTTGCTGTTTTAATTCTTCTTTCTTATAGTTACGCTGATAAGATGTGATGACGCGACGTAAGCGCGTGTTGAGATCTTGCATTGTTGGCCAAATGAGATTTGGATCTGTTTCAGATGATAAGTGGATTGTAGCATCCTCATCATCAAGACCTGAGGGAATTAGGCGTTGATCATTAAATTTTGCAAATGATAGAATGTTTGGTTGATTCTTACCCGATGAACTTGGTCGATCTTCGCCATCTTTGGTTGATCGGACCTCTTCATCATTTTCATCGACATCGCCATGCTTAGAATTTGTCTCGTCATCATGTCTGTAAATTTTTTTTATGAAAATCGTAACATTAATGAAATGTGAAAATCTACATCTTAGATTCATCTAAAGAATTATCTAAATTTTATGTATAGGATGTATATAATGATGAATAAGTAATGATATATTAAATTTTTATAAGTATAATGAAAAGATAAGCAACAAGGATGGTGTAAAGTTAAGGATTTTTTTTTCAAACTTTTGTGTTAGTACGCATGCATAAAGAAACAAAAACAATGATTTGAATTAGTAACAAAAAAGATAAAACTTTCATGCACATTTGCTTCGCAGTCTTACTTACTCACTGATGAATATTTTAACTTTAGATTCTTATCCAATAAATTATTAATTGACTTAAGTTTTAATTACTATTTACATAACATTAACAAATAACATACAGAACACATAAATGCTTTTTTTTTTTTTTTTGATAATTTGAATTCGTATCGGGAAAGTAAAATTCTACATGATTGTTTGATTCTAGTGTCAAAGAAAGAACAACTGAAGTTGCTCGATTGTCATTTTTATCACTAATATAATTTTCAAGCATGATAGACCGAACTAATAATATAAAATCATAAAAGAATATCGGTGTTGATAGAATAGGAGGATTGTGAGGAGGAGGATCAACAGCTAAATTAAAGTAATACTGATTAATTATGATTGCTGTAGTACTCAGGATTAACTTTATTAATTTCTTAAAATCTCAATAAATAGTGCCTGAATGGTACAAGTCGGTTAATCGATTAGAAATCCGGCACCAAGCTAGTTTGAATCTAGCATGGTGCTGGATTTAAATCGAAGCCAGCACCATGCCAAGGTCATGTCGATCTATTGATTAACCAATTTGTGCTATTTGGGGAATCGAAATTTCTTGAAATTCTCAATTAAGAGGTTAAAGTTAATCCTTAGTACTATTGCATTGGTTTTACATAATTTTTAAAGTTGGGATAATCGGGATTTGGTATACTTGTTTTTGCAAAGAATTATTGACTGGGTTATCAAAATTATAATAAATATTTCTAGTCTAAAGATCCAAAGCGGATGTTATACTCTACATATAGGTTGTTCACTGTGAAATCAGACCTATGCTATTGGTACTTCTATTGGTATCAGTCAAGTGACACGACAAATGTAAGTAAATTATGAAATAAGATTAAAGGTTTTTCAAAGAACAAAAACTACGGAAGGGAATCCTTAATATTCACTTATGATGTCCAAAACGTTTAAACATTGCTTAAACATTTTGCTGCATATTATAATTTTAATTGACAGCTAGTATACTTTTAAAAAAACATTGGGTTTGATAATGCCATTTTTAAGTGAAAACCATTAACATCCCTTACATTCTACCAAAATATCTACATCCGCTAAGAATCTATAGTCAATCAATAAATAAAAGGATCTATAACTAAGGTGGATTTAAACTAAAATCTTCTAATAGTTTAATGACTAATTTAAAAAAATACAAAATATAATATAAAAATAATAATAAAAAATAAGAAATTATAACAGAAGTAAGAAAAAATAGAATAGAATACGTTTTTTTTTGAATTTGAATTTTGGTTGTTTTTTTGACTTTTTTTAAAACAAAAACTTACTCTTTACTAATCATCGAACTATCATCAGCAACATCACCGGGACCGCAATGAGTAATAAAACACAACGTTGGATCGGCTCGAATTTGACGATACATTTCACATCCATGTTTATACGTTCCAACCAATAAACTCTTGTCACAACATTTTGGATTCCACCATGAGCATGGTAGGGCATCGGTTGTGGGTGGTGGGCGAATTGGGAGATCGCTAATAGTTTTTTTTTTCGGTTATTCACACGATTTTTTTTGAGGATTAAAAAAATGGAGAAAAGAAAAATTCGAAAAGAAATTCGAATTTTTTATTGAAATTTTTTGTCTTAACTTTCAGTTTTTTGTTCTACTAAACTACAACTACTTTTCGATATATATTTTTTTTGTCATCAGTACAAATCATTTTCCAAAACCGCGGATTTAAATAAAGTATATAAAAAGCTTCTCAGTTTTTCGACTTTCAAATAAATCATAAAAAGTTTTTTCAAAACTCAAAGTAAAAATAAAGTTAAATTAATATTTGTGTGTGATCGCCCGATTCGCCTTTTTTCCAATTGAAAGAAAAATCTTTAACAATTTTGCATAAGAAAAATTTCAAACAAATTTGAGGTAAAAATTTGCTCATTGGTGATATCAAACATTTAAAAAAATGGAGGAATAAAATAATTTTTGGCAAAGAAAATGAAGGAGAAATTTGAAAATGAATTTTTTTGTTGTGCCGATGGGAAAAAAAATCTTTCAAATTTTTAAAAATGCAAAAAATCAGACTGTGGTGATTATTGAAATTTAATTTTTTTGAAGATTTTAGTTGGCATTTGGGGTGGTCTGAGGGGGTTCGGAGCTACTTGGAGATTGAAATTTGAATGAAGCACCCCCATTAAAAAGTAGAAGTATTCAAAAAGTAATCTTGACTCCAATTTTCGAAAAGACCAGACTTCATTCATTTTTCGGATGAATTAGCTGTATTTATCTGGAACTGAGCACTAGCCCTACCTTCACAGCTCAAATTCAGACCTCACAAAGAATTTTGACATGAAAATATTTTAAACTTAAATTACGATCAGAATCACAATAAAAATTGATAAATTATCAACACAGACTGACTTTTTTACATATTTTATGACAGCAAAAATGACAGCTATTAAAATTTTTGACCCAAATAACACACTTAAAAAATTTGATTTGCTATGAAAGAGGAAAATGAATTCAATTTTTAAACCCGGCACATCGAGATTTAATTCTGATTTTTTTTAAAGAAGGAAGAAACAAACTCGACAAAAAAGAAAAGGAACATGAAAAAAAGTTTTCAGAATTTAAGAATATTTAAAAAAATATCGAACATTTAACTTTTAAAATACAGATTCGAAATTTTCCATTTAATGTTATAAAAAAATTTCTGATTCTGTTCGTAAAATCAAAAACAAAATGAAATGATGAGAAATTTTTTTGTTTGATGAATTTTCAAGCAAATTTTAATCAACAGTCAATAAAAACATTTAATTTTCCTGTTTTAAGATTTTCAAAAAAATGGCTCTGAATGAAATTAAAATGAAAAAAAGTTTTATTTTTTCCTTAAACCCTCAATTAAAAAATAGTTTGATGAACTTTTATCCCAATTAATTAATTAAATATGTACGAAACTTAAAATCAAAAAGGGTTAAAAATGGCTCATTCGTTCTCTCACAATAGATAATATATAAATATTGTCATTGATTTGAAAATAATGTTAAATTAATGAGAAAAATAATTTTTTTTTGTGTTTGTTGTGATATCAAAAAATAAAATGTACAAAAAAACCACATCTGCAGCATCTTCGACATGAAGCATTAAATAGCAATCACAAATACCAAAAAAAGACAAATTTTGTATGATTTTTTTGCATTACATTGAAGAAGACGCTGCTAAGGCCAATGAGAATAGGGAGATTTAAAAACAAAGAAAGGCTCAACGAATTTCAATATTTAAAAATATTTTTTTTTTCATAAAAAAATTTAAAAGCATAAAGCAATTTTTAATAAAAAAATCTTAAAATTCTTTTTGGTTTGAAAATGATTTGCATTTTTTTTTTTGGGGGGGAGCAATGTTGATTGAATGGAAATGTTTTGTGAATTAATTCTAATTAAATTTTTATAAAATATTAATGAAAAATACTCTAAATGTCCACAAAAAAAATCACAGCTTCAATCAACATTTTCTGTATAGTAAATAAATAATTTTTAATGTTTGGGTTAATTGATCGATTTTTGAATTTGAGAAAAAAATAGTAATGGGGGTGAATGTATAAATAAGGGGGAATAAATAGAATATAAAAAAATTCTGGTTTTTAAATGAAAAATGATTTTTGATGAGAAAACGAGTAAAAAAATTTTTTTGATGAATTTTTCGAAAAAGTTTCTTAATTTTTTTTTTGTCTTTTGTTTATCGAATTTTCAAAATATGAGTGTGTTAAGATATGGAATGTGAGAAAAATACCTGATTGGCACTCCGTCCTGAATTTGTTGAACGTAATCACCAATAACTTCATGTTTGATATAATAAAGCATTCGAACACGAAGTAATACTCTGAAAGGAATTAATGAATAAATCAATAAGCAACAGTCATGATTTATAAATAACAAAAAATTAGCTTACTTATTGGCATGACGTGTCAAATGTTTTTTGTAATTAATTTCTAAGTACGATTCAGCATCATATTTATCATCCTTACTCCAATGATTATCATCTAATGCACTAACAGTGCTTGAAGCAGATGATGATGCACGAGGTGACGATGGTCCTGCACTATCAGGTTCTTTTCCATTGCCTGGCATCATACATTTGCCCTTGCGACCTAAATTTGAGGGGGGAAATATAGGAAAGGTTTTAATTTAAATTTGTCGAACACTTGTGTACCTTTTGCATTACGTCCTCTCGGCACCAAATTATGCAGTCCACTATGATTTCGTGCTATCGTACTATCCTCGCCAACTCCACGCGGTTTTATTAAATCCCAAATAAATGTTTTGATTTTCTCATCGCCTTGGTAGCGTTGAAGGCAGAACAAAAGCTAAAATGTTGAAATGAAATAGTCAATTTTACATTATCAGAAATTATAAGCACACAAATGCCACAAGCATGAATTAAACTTTATCAGATTTATGAGATGAGAAGAAAATCTTGTTTGACTCAGCGAAAACCTAAAGTTTTCTCAGTATTAGCATAGCTTTAATCATCATATAAAATATTATTCATTAGGCTTCAAGAAAATTTAATGAGCTGATTGACTTTATTTTTCTTTTGGAAGTCACGTAACTCAAAAAACTTTCTGTTCATAAAAAAAACACCAAAACACACGTTTACCACCACAATAGCTTCATACTCACAATTATTCTCGCACAATCTTCAATGTCGCTATCCTTCCATCCTCGCTTAAAAGCGCCTTGCTCTAAGATTTCATTCCAACGTCCCCAACTGTGATAATAAAAAATTGTTTTAATAAATTTTAAATAGATTAATGTAAATGTTTTAATTTGGCTGACATGATGAAATTTTAAGGTATCTGGAAGTGGAAATTTATAACACAATTATTTTTGGGTCGTTTGGAAATTAGGTATCTCAATCTTTGTAATAAAATGTGTAGAAATCTAACATTATTCTCCTGCACTACGTACGTAATAACCAAACAATCTTGAAACAAATTTTACTACAAAAACAAAATCAATTTTAATGCATTTTTAGGCGACGACAAAGAAACTCAAAAATCAATATTTCCTCATTTTATAGCACTTCGTTTTTGCGTTTGTGATTTTCATTTTCAATATTCGATTTAATCGCTTCTCTTTCTCTAAATTAATATCAGTTTCCCTCAATGTGTCACTTAGTAGAATGTACTGGAAAGCTGATGGTGCTGAATATTTTGATAGTTTGTAGCTGTTAAGATTCAACTTTTGCTCAAGACTTTTAACTTTGAACTCAAGTCTTTCATTTTCAATCTTTTGGTCGATAATAATTATTTGCTGTTCCTTAATTTCCAGATAATTTTCATGTATTTTAGATTTCGATTCCAAAACTTTGGTTTTTTTCGTGGCAACTTTCTTCTTGTTCTTGTACTGGTCGAAACGATGAGCATAACATGCATAAGTCTTTTGTTTCTCTAGATTTTCACTTTTTTGGACTTCAATATTTAACAGTTGAAAATCAACAGGCATAAGAACTCCACTCATTTCCGCATTTCTTCTTACTCGTTTTTGAATTTCTTTTAAGTCAGTTTTAAATTTAGAATTTCCTAATCGATACTTTTCAAGGAGATTTGAGCACTTCTGAGATAAATTTTTAAGAAATGTAAAGAAGCTTTTTTCGGAATCACCACACAAGTCCATCGCAAACTTTGCATTTTTCAACTCTTTAATTGACAACTCAATTTCGAAAAATTCAACCAGAAAATGATTCATTGACTTTATATGCTCAATTTTCATTCTGACTAATTTTGATTTAAAATCATTAATTTGATCCGCACTTAAATCTTCCAAATAATTCTTGTTGAATCTTAACTGTTCTAAAGTCATCAAATTAGATGAAAATTTGCTTGTACGCAACATTTGAGACATTTTTGGATGGAAAAAACGTGAGGAACGACGAGTCTTTGTTTTTACAATTTTTTTCTTGATTCTTGGTATTGTTGTGACTTTAATAATAGTTTCATACTCATACTCATCGTCAGAATCATTTTGAGATGTTAGGTCGCTCTCTTCTCGGAGATTGGTAATTTGTGGTTCAATGTCTTCTTTAGAATAAGAGACTGTTAAGTTTTCGATCGGATTCCCACTTGTAGATACCTTTTCCACATAATTATCTTCATCCTTATCAATATCAACTGCATTCTCATCCGTAATTCCCAATTCACCTTTAGTTCCTTTTAAGTCTACATCTTCAACAACATTTTTACTCTCCAAAATCAACTTTTCATCTAGACCAATTTCATCTTTAGTGAATATAATCTTTTCTTCAACATATTTCTCAACAAAATCAATAGGTCTTGGAGCAGATGACAAGTTGATTGAATCCAAACCAACAATCGATTCTGGATTATTTTTTCGAAGAAATTCTTCAAATAAACAGTTTTCAGCTTCTGCGATATTTACTTCAATTTTATAAGAACGGACAAAATCAAACAGTTCCTTAATCGGGATATTCTCCAATGCCTCATCGAGAAACAAAAATTCATTCCCTGACATTTTAATTGATAATTTTTTTCAACAAATAAGAATAAAACGACTACTAAGACTGCCAGCCAAATTATAACAACTTCCCACACAGTAATTAAAAAGAAAACAAGAAAATTCACTTACCCAAATGAAAGTAATCCCTTTTCAACTTTAAAGCATTCTGAACGAGCCCATGAACCGTATGATACATCTTCAAAGCCAAGTGCTGCTAATGTATCACGATCACGTGGTATATAATCCTCAATATGCTTTCCTCTACGTAATTTATCTTTGCGATTCTTTTTACTTCTTAATCCAATACCTCCTCCTTCTTCATCTGTTTCTATACCAGTAGATTCTTCAGACATATCCATAACATCTTCATGACCATAACGTTTGATTTGTGTACGACGACGTGGTTCAGCTAAAATCAAATCTTCAATCTCATCCTTCTCACAAGCCGTTGGATCGATTTCAGCTTTCTTTGCCCATTTGTTCCAAAAATCAGGATCATCAATTGCAATATCTGAGCGATTGCTTGACGAAGCAAATGAAGCTTTTGAGAAAGTTGAGCCCTTTTCAATCTCCATTGTGATAATTTGTGTACGACGTTCCAGAATTGAATCAATGTCTTCTTCACAGAACTTATCTCCAGCATTGTCATCGTCCATGACAGCTCCATAAGCACCTTTCTTAAGCAAATCTTCAATTTCTTTCTTTGACAGCTGCTTATTATTTCCTTCTTTTCCTTGAACTGTATTCATACTCTGCAAAATGGCTTTGTCAAGACCAAGTTTTAGTGATGCTTTATCGAACATTTCACGTTCATATGTGTTACGACACAATAGACGATAAATTTTAACCATCTTTTGTTGACCAATGCGATGGCAACGTGCTTGAGCTTGCAAATCATTCTGTGGATTCCAATCAGAATCATAAATAATGACAGTATCAGCAGCAGTCAAATTGATACCTAAACCACCAGCTTTTGTACACAATAAGAATACAAAACGATCAGAATCAGGCTTACTGAATCGATCGATAGCTGCTTGACGAAGATTTCCACGAATTCGTCCATCAATTCTTTCAAATGGATATTTCTTAAATACTAAGTAATCTTCGAGAATGTCAAGACACCGAACCATCTGACTGAAAATCAATACACGATGTCCATTTGCTTTCAACTTTGGTAATAATTTGTCAATTAAGACCATTTTACCAGATGCGTTGACAATATTTTTGTAGTATCCATCACCAACATCACCGTGAGTAACTTTCCATTCATATTGAATTTGGTCTTCAGCACCATTCAGGAGGTATGGATGAATACAGCATTTTCTCAATTCCATCATTGTATTCATAAGATTTGGAATATTTGCAGCTGTTGTGCCTTTTTGTAAGAATGAAAAATTCTGTTCCAAAATACCACGATAATATTTCTTTTGGATATTTGTAAGTTCAACTTCAACTATTGTTTCTTCTTTCGGTGCAAGTGACTTTTCTACATCATCCTTCAATCTACGCAACATCATAGGCTTCAACAATGCCTGAAGCTTCATTACTTCACTTTCAGTTCTCAAACTTCCAAATTCCCTCAAGAAATCTTCATTAGATGCAAATTGTGTAGGTTCGAGGAAATTAAGTAACGAGAAAAGTTCATTGACATTATTCTGTAATGGTGTACCAGACAAAAGCACACGATGCTCCAAATTTAATTGACGTAAACCTTCCAATAATTTACAATTGCGATTTTTCAAACGATGTGCTTCATCAATGACACAGACACGGAAATTGAAATTGCTCAAGTCTTGATAATCTGTCACAATCATTTCGAATGTTGTAATCAGTACATTAAACTTTGTGATATCTTTTAATGGCTTGCCACTGTCAAGCTTGTAGTATATTTCATAATCCTGAAGCATTTGTCGACTGGTAGCTGAACCATGATAAACAATTACATTTAAATCAGTCCATCCCTCGAACTCACGTTGCCAGTTAGGAATTGTTGATAATGGTGCAATGACAAGGAATGGACCTCGAATGCCATATTCATGAACTGAATTTACAAATGTGAGACTCTGAATTGTTTTACCTGGAAGAAAAGTGTTGATATGAGAATTAATAAGACATATGAACATGATTTATGCTATTTAAGTACTTACCAAGACCCATTTCATCAGCTAAGATACAGTTGTTTCCCTTGTACCATGAATATTTCAACCAATTCAATCCTTCAAGTTGATATGGTCTCAAAGAATTTCCTCCTTTGAACGAAGGCGTTTTATCAAGTTGCTTCCATTGATCAGGATGTGGACGTTTCTTGAATTTCCATTCATTTTTAGGGGGAATTTTGTTGAATTTTTCAAATTGTTCCACTTTATCCTCATCGACATCTTCTTCTAACTCCCATGTACTATCTTCATAAGCCAAGCTCTTCCACTTTACTAAATAATGCTTATTCTTATTTCCTTCTTCATCTGTATGCTCAGATGCATCCAAGATTCTATCGACTTCTACAAAGTCTGGATTGAATGGATCTTCTTCGAGATTTTCAAAAATATTAAATTGTTGAGCTTGCTTTTGTTGGAAACGTCTTATTTTGTTACTAACACGCTTATCACCTTTCAGTAGTTCCTCTTCTGTGCGCCATTCACAATGTAAATATGAAAAGTTTCGGTACTTGACTAAGAATTCTTCAACTTCAACAAAAACTGGCTCAGGTTTTTCCTCTTTGACTTCTGGAACTTCTGGCTTTACTTCTGTCTTAACTTCAGCTGATTTCTCTTCAGGATCGACATCGATAGTCTCCTTTGTTTCTGTTGAACCTTCATCAGTTGTAATTGGTGATTCCTCCTTTACAAGTTCGGTCTCTTTTATTTCATCAGTCGATTCTTTTGGCTCCGTGGGCTCTTCTGAAACCTTTTCTATCACTTCTTGTTCTTTTTCTTGTTCTTCGTCTTTAATCTCATCATCTACTTCCATTTTCGATTCCTCCTCTTTAGTTTCATCGGCTTTAATTTCACTTTCAATTTCTTTCTTTTCTTCTGAGCTTTCAGATTCCTTTATCTCCTCACCTTCGACTTTTTCACTCTTTTCTTCTTTAACTTCGGCACTGACTTCAGTACTCACATCACTTGATTCAGTCTTCATTTCACTCGATTCAGTTTTTGTATCCACACCCTCTGTTTCTTCTTTCTTTACTTCAACAGGTACTGGAGGAGGCGGTGGTGGATCAGGTTTTAACTCACGTTTACCCATTCTCGATGCTAACACAAACTGTACTATCATTGTGTCTTCATCGGAGGTATTGATATATACATAATTTGGCTTATTACTAACATCTTCTGGTGGAATGATTTTTTCAGTGCCTTCAACCTTAGGTTGTCCATCTGTAGACTCAGTTGGATTGATATCGGCACCATCTTCACCTTTTTCTTTCTTACTGTCATCTGTGGCTTTTGGTGTACCTTGTTTGACTGGTGAAACAATCAAACCACCTTCCTCATCAGAGAATCTCAACATGGCATCATCAGTATACTTCTTTCGTTGTGTATTTCTAGCTGATCGTCGTTTCGAACTATCAATTTCAGCATCATCGCCAGTTGGTGATGCAGGTGGTGTAGCAATCATATCGTCTGCTTCATCGCCAGAATCCTGAACAATTTTACCACGATTTGATCTTCGATTTGATTTACCACCGAAACCACCTTTTCGTGCGCGTGGCTTACACATTCCACTCCTTCTACGATCTCCACTCTTGTTCTTTTTCTTTTTAAATGGTGAATCATCTTCATTTGTGGATAAAACATCACTCAATGCAGCTTCGTCAGACAATGCAGCCTTTTCTTTCTCATCGAGAAGACTTTGGACAGAAATTTTAGATACCGGAATATCATCAAAATCAGTAACTTCATCGTCAAGTTTCGGTTCGAGTTCACTCTTGCTTTCCTCACCTTCGACATTTTCATTTCCTTCACCTGAATTGGCATCAGTGGAATTTTGATTATGCATAAGTGACGCAAGTGATTGATTCTCCTCACCTTCACTTGTAAGCTTTGAAAATTCAGTACTATTATTGTCATGTGAAACGGAATTCTCGTCCGAAACAGCTCCTTTCTTTGTTTTCTTTTTCGACTTTTCAGGGTCCTTTTCCTTCTTCTTTTTCGACTCTTTAGGACTTTTTGGTTCTTTTGGAGGTTTTGGTGCACGTGGCTTTCGTGGTTTCTTAATCTTTTTACCACTTGCATCTGTTGATGTATCTAAATCACATAAAGAATTATCTTGTGAGATATCAGCCATATCATGATCCTCTGAATAAATTTGTGAAATATCTCCAGTTCCTGCTGTCACTGAATCCTCAGAAACGGGTAGATTTGATGTATTAATAGTATTTGATAAGCTTTCCTCAGTCGCTTGTGCTTGTGATTGTTTTTCAGACTTCTTTGAGCGTGGTTTTCTCTGTTTTGATGAATTACTTCGTCCACGACCTCGACCAGTTGTGCTCGTTACTTGAGGCGAGTCAATCATTGAAAACATTGGATTTTGAAGGATACATGATGGTGTACCGCCTAAACACTGATCTGTCGTCTCATGTTGTTGTAAAATATTAATCCTCTCTTGATGCTTAAGAATCTTCTCTTGATTCTCAGTTGAAGGTGGTAATGTATAAAGCTCACTTAATTGCTGTTGTATCATCGTTCTCTCTTGATGATGTGGCATTGTATTATATGGAGATTGTTGCATATTATATCCCATATTATATGTTTGGATTGGTGTTTGTTGTGGTGGATATGCTGTTATCATACCAGATTCCATTTTTGATTGTGATGGAATGTTTTCAATCTGTAATGAAAAAAATATATATCAGAGAGATAATTAATTAGTGGTAAATAGCATTAAATGATGGTAAATAAATTGGGACTGATGTTTTTTGATTGATCGAGAAGCTGTACATTTTTGCCTAAAGCATGCTCAAAAGGATTATTATTTTGGGGTAATTTAATTGATATTTATAGAAAATATTCGTCATAATCGCCCGAAAAGTTTTACATGTCCCAATTTAATACTCGCAATTAATAATTTACAAACCTTATTTGTAATTTCCGCTCCAACATTTGTCAATTCGTTCGTTATTTGCTTATCATTTTCACTAATCATTGTTGAATCAGCAGATTTGGGCTTTTGTATTTCGGAACCAAAACCAAATTCTAGATTATCAATTTTATCACTTCCTGTATCCTGTTGCATTTGTGGTAAACTCAATGCATCTTGCTCATCGTCATTGTCTGTTGAGCTCTTTTGTGGGACTGGTTGATTACCATACTCTTCATTTTTGTCACTATCAAGATATGAATTAACATCTTGATCCATTGTCGACTGTTGATTTGCATTTTCGTCCTGCATTGCATCATTGTTGAAACTATTTGTTTGCATCATACTATTGGCATTATCACTTATTTGACTACTTTGACTATTTTCATTGGTGGTTTGAGAGAGCAGTGAATCATCAATGCTTGATTTTTGTGCTGTCGACGATAGATTTGATGTATTTACTGTTGCACTATTCGAATAACTATCAAGTAAATTAAGATCTGACGATTGATCTGTTGATTCTAATGTTGATAATGAGGATTGGTTTGTTGTTACTTGTAGACCAACTGAATACTGATCCTGTTGTGGTTCAATTTGTTGTTGCTGCTGAGGCGATAACATGCTCATAGCATTTCCTAATTGTTGCTGTACTTGTTGGGAAGGAATTGATGGTGTTAAGTTCTCATAAGGTTTATGTATTGATTCAAGTTGTGTTTTTTGCTGCTGTTGAGTCATATCTTCGTAGCTATTATAAGTCGTTTGTTGCTGAAGCTGATTAGTTGGCGGTGGAATTACTTGAATGGGTGTCTGCTGATTTTGTCCAGCTGTAGACATTAAATCAGGCATCTGCATTTGACCCATCATTTGACTCGTTTGATTTTGTGGAATTTGTTGGGACATTTGCAACTGCGAATGAGTCGTCATCATATTTATATGACTGCTTCCATTCATTTGTGATCTATGAGGAGGCCATTGTTGATGTTGTGGTGACATCGATACATGTGTACCGAGTGGTGATGGCGACAATGGATTATTTGGCATAGATGGAAGTGTTTGTTGTCGATAATTTGTTTGATTATAATCAATTCCAGTTGAATTCGTACTGGGCATAACCATTTGCTCCAATGCCTGTAATGTATTCGATGGCGCAATTGAACTCTTCACCGTTGCTCCTTGCATTGACGGGAGAGATGATTGTGATCGTGCACTAGGACTTGGTATGTGAGGATGTGGAGACTGATTATTTGATGATTGCTGTTGCACTTGTTGATTTTGAGTTGGTACCACTGGCGGTTTGGCAGGTGACATTACTGGTCTCGGTGACATTTGCGGGTGAGGATGAGGTGACATTTGAGGTCTTGGACTCATTTGTGGCGATAATTGAGGAAAAGGCGCACGATATTGTGGACTATTTCCAAGTTGTTGTTGTTGTTGTTGTTGTGTGGCAGGTGCTTGTTTGGAATTCGGTAAGTAAGTTGGTACTTGTGGTGGTGCGACAGTTTGAGTTCCAGTCAACTGACTTCCATAACTTGGCAACATACTATGTCCCATTTGATGAGGCATAGAGGCAGGATTATGTCCCTGTGTTAGTTGCTGATGAGTCTGTTGACCAGCCTGCTGCTGCTGAGCACTTAATGTAGTTTGATGTGTCTGTTGTTGTTGCTGCTGTTGAGTCGCAGTTGATGTATGGAGCATAGTCGATGCAGAATGCTGCGTTTGCGGTGCTATATGAGATTGTTGGGTTTGAGCTTGCTGTTGAGTACCATGAGTAGATCCTAATACAGGCTGCTGTTGTGCCGCTGAGTTCATTGTCGGATGTTGTAATTGATGTAATTGCTGTTGCTGCTGATGACTTTGAGCCGTTTGACTTAAATGGGATTGTGTTTGTTGGATTGGAATTGGCGGTAAGCCGACTGGACCTTGATTTGCTAAATGTCCATATCCCGTTTGATCTAATTGATGACCATATGCGGGATGTTGATTTGTTGCTGTACGTGTAGCTTGATGCTGAACTCCATATCCAGCATAAGCTTGTGCAGGTGTTTGTTGAGGTGGTGTTCCATACATTTGATGACCGCTTTGCGGATAATGTTGAGTTATCCTCTGTTGGGCTTGCTGTTGATGTTGAGATTGAGGAATTGATGGATATCCTTGTTGTGGAATCATACTTCCCATCATATTCTGTTGTGTTGTATATGCAGTTTGCATTTGTTTCGGATCTTGCGGATAACTAGACATGTGTTGCCGATAGCTGGAAAAAAAATCACAAACATTTTATTTCTAATTCCTCTGAAAAAATGTTTTTTTTTTTTAAAAAAAAGCTACAAACCTTTGAGGTTGTCTTTGTGTGGCTTGAGGAGCTTGTGGATGTGTTCCATAACCCATTGGTTGGCCATAAGGCTGTGGTGGAACGGATTGTGGAGTACTCCATCCAGTAATATCACTCAGGCTCATGCTAGCATGCTGATCAGCACTCATCGAGTACATACTATCGGTCGGTTGGTAAGTAGGATATTGGGGCTGTTGCTGATGTAAAGGCATAGGAGCTCGTTGTCGTGGTGGTGCTCCATAGCCAGGCGGTGGACCCATTCCTCTTGGCGCTGTCGGATCGTATCTGTAATAAGCGTCGCTGTAGGGCACAAAATAGGATATTTCCCATTAATCAAATTGATTTAAGGCAGGAATGAACTTTCTTTGTTAATACATATACCACAAAAATTCCTTCAAGAAATTAGTCTAAAAACCGTGACTTACCCTTGTCCTCCATGATACATATTCTGGGCATTTCCATCCATTTAGAATTCGCAATAAAATGATTCTTTTATTTTAATGTTCTAAACTTCTTTCGCACTTCTGATGTTTTCACTTGGAGGTTCTGACTTTAATTGCTAGTTGACATTTGTTTAACTATTAACGTACAAGTATTCGATTAAATTAGTGGTTTTCATCACTCTTAAGCTGCATATTTCATAATCTTTTGTAATATTTTATTATTTTTATTTCGCTAGTTTATGTTATGTACCTGTAAATAGATCAAAGTTTCAGAATTAATTGAACGAAAGAAAAATTTGCTTTATTTTTATTTTTTCGAAATTACACGCACACATACAACAAAAGACACTCAATTTTTTTCAAATAAAAAATTCACTTCTTTTTCGAAGAGAGAGACTTTCGAAATTCGAAGAGACGAGAGAAAGGAAGATAAAGTACGCTCTAGATGCAACATAAACTTCTGGAATATTCTAATGTCTAGAAAAGTCGGGATATTTATTGATAAATTAAAAATCAAATTCTCGATTCTAGTTTAAGTTCAACTTTTAATAAGAACCTTATTTTTATATATGAATAAATTTCTCATTCAGTAGCTCTCTCACTCACACATACAGCATAGACTAATTTTTTCTCTCATCATCATTTTCATCATCATCATCGACACAATATAATGATTATATTCACACATAAGAATTTTCGATGAATTTTTATTCATGGCAGACTCATGGCAGACATTCATGATAATATTTGTGAATTTAACATTTAATTTCATGTTGATCGCACGCGACAAATTTTAATCAATGATAGGCTGGATTCTGGATATTTCTTATTGGAATCTAAATGATGCTTTTGTGTGCAGAACGATTTGCCGGTTCAATAAGATTTCATAGATTGTGAGTAGATTTAAGGATATTTTGAAGCACATATGTCGGACCACAAAAATCTCTCAATTGCTGGCATCTCTCTCAACACCTAAGGGGAAAAGCTATACGCTTATGATATTAATAACATTTTGAACATATAACGCACAGTTTTTCCCCTCAGGTATCAAGACATGTTGATTCTTTATACTTTTTTCTCTCAGCTCCTTTTTATTAGGTGATCAACTAAATTCCTTATAAACACTTAATACCAGAGTTCCCAAAGAATATGGTTTCAATGAACTTTCATAACCACCCACAGAAGAACTTGTCGCACACATACACACACACACACACATTCCGGAAATTCCGGAACGAGAGTGAAAATATTTTAACATCAATAATAATACTCGACCTTGGATGAGGCACGCAACCACTTGTGGGAGAAGAATTTTTCCCAAATAACGCGTATTATTAGGTTAGGGGTGCTAAATTCCTTACTTGTAAATAACTTTACGGGCTGGGTGGGAGGGATGATTCCTTTGTTTCATATTATTTGAATTTGATAGATATTCATGCTTTTTGGGGGTGGAACTGGAAGGTGTTGAAATGTTTTTTGATGAGGAGGTTTGAAAGTGTTCAGATACATGTTAAGGAATATTCAAAAATGAAAGTTTTGGACGAGCAACAACAAACTTCATTTGTGTCTCATGCAAAGGATATGACGAAATGAAATGAAAAAGTGAGGTTAGAAGAGAAACGAGAGAAGATGATGCAAAAAAAAGTTATTACAGTGTTGGAGAAAAAAAAAATCAATAAAACAATGTATGGAGTCATTTACATTTGTGTATGCAGTTTTGTGTGGATTTTTTTTTATTTTTGTTATTTCAATCCTCATTAAAAATAATGCGAAAAAATTAAATTCACGATTTTTATTCATTCGAAAGTTTTTTTTTTAAATTTTTCAATTAAAAAGTTTGATTCAAGTAAAATGTTTTGTTTTTTCAACTTGCCACCATTTTATAAAACCAAAAAGTTTTTTTCTACTTTGCAACATTAATCGAATTCTTTCCTTTTCTCTCTCGGTTTTATTTGCTACCGTTTTTTTCGCCTCTCTCATCTTGAACCCTTCATTACAATTTTAACCCTCGCGATATACTTTTTTTTTACTTTCTTAGAGTGTTCCGTCCTTTATAAAAGGTTTTAAATTACTTCAATCTGTCCTTTAATTTCTCCCGCTCCTCATCTCATTGATTTGAGGATGTTTTTACATCCACAGAAGTTAAGTAGAGTTGATGAATACTTGATGGTATTGCAATAAATTTTACTACAGGAATTATTCATGCTATGATTATGATTGCATCTACAGGATATGAATTTATATTTCTACTGTTCAATTCTAAAAGGCTTATACAAGATAAGCTGCTTGAGTCTATAATTCCCAAGTTTGTGGTGGATGTTAGGGCTTTAGGGAAACCATATCAACAACAAATCTGTTGAATGTCAGAAAATCAGCGATAAATTCAATGCTAGTTCACTTCTAAAAATATATTATTTCTTTATCAACAAAAATGTATCCACAAACTATCTAGTTCCAATGAAATATTCATTGACTATGGCATAAAAATAAAAAAACTGAAACGTCAATGTTTTTCACGTTTTACCGATTAATGATTTATCAATATTCAGCTGAATGCTATCTAAGACATTCGATCGAAGTGCAATAAATTATAAAAGTAGAGCCCAGCTGTATGGCTTGTATTAAGGTTTCAATGACAAGGTTTGGCGCTGAAGAATTTTATAGCTAAGTTGGACATTTCAATGATAAAATTGAACAAAATTTAGACAATCCCAGCATTAAATCAATAGATATTCTAGTCAAGAAGTTGAATTATTGATACTATAACCTCTTTCCCATCACAAAATGCATTTAAACTCGAACCACAAATTACTGTCGATGCAATAAATTATGAAAAATTTTCATCATCAATAAGAAGAGACATTGTAAAAGATACTGAAGGAAATGGAAGCTCAGTTCACTGACCTAATAATGGCATTTCTTCTTCCTTCGTTCACTCCTTTGGAAGAAAATTTTCATATCCAATAAAATTTTCTTCAAGTTATGAAAATTGCTACATTATATGTAATGTGAAAATCGATAAAATTTAATGTAATTTTGGGGGTGAAAATTCAATTTTTGCTTCCTTTAATTTTTTTCACTCAGAACTTGGTCAAATCCATCAGAAACCTTATACATAGTCCCCTCACATATTAAAATCCTGCATTCAAAAACATGCATGGATGTAAACGTGGAGAGAAAAAAATCCTTAGATCAGCTTATATTGAAGCACATCCACATACCTGGAGAAAAGGGAGGTAAAAAAATGGATCAAGTAGCTCTCAAACATAACAGCTTTATGGTTATGTAAAGTAACTAGGGGTGGATGATTTAATGATGCAAATTCCAGCATCCCCTGCACACATACTCAGTCATTGTTGGTTTATGACTTTTTTTCATAAAAAAATCTACTTTATCGGTCAGATGGAAAATGAGCATCACAAATACAAATTTATTCCTTTATTATAGGAAATTTTTGAGCAGAAAAAATCCTCTTGAATTTCCATTTCATCTAACTCGTTTCCCTTTTTTGTCAAACGAATGGAAAAAATGTCATTTTTGGCAATAATAAAATTTTTCATTCTGTCGTCCCCCCTTTTATTTTTGATATCCGCACATTTATTACGCACTTTTGTGTGATTGTATGAGTGAACATGAATATTTGGATACTTATAGGAGGTTGAATGAATCCTTAAAGGATTTTTTGTTTCGGTTGTGTCCTTGCAGAGATTTTTGTAAGAATTTTGATGGTTTATGGATATTAATGTAATGTAATAATGAAGGAAGAATCTAGTCCAATTTGAAATTTATAGAAGGTTGTAAGAATTTAACTTCCTACTTGATCTCAGACGTTTCAGGACCACACCATTATCTTCACTGACCAAGAATAATTACCCGAAATCCATCTCAGGATCTTCAGTCAAGCCATAAACTTTTTAACATGCGCTTGAACTAAATCGAGCGTGAGAAAGGTTAACATACTCGATTTATGATTCCGCCTCAATTCCCAATTCATTTCTTAGTTCCTTTTTGGCCCAAAAATGAAAATTGAATTTTTTGCTGTCAAATGAAAAGAAAAATTTTTGGAGCACGCAATAAATCTCATCTAGGTGATGAGAAAGTTAAGTTTTGTGAATTGAAAATTCCTTGACATTCTTCAGGACCATAAAAGCTTTTTAGTAACAGGAACAAAGGCAATGATTGTGAGTCTGAACAATCTGAAACAATTTCAAAAATGTGGGAATCCAAAAATGTAGAAAAATCCAATTAAAAATTCCTCAACAGCTTTGAAAAATCCAACTAAAAGTCAACGTCGAGAAATAAACAAAATGTCGGAAAATTATTGCTTTTTTTTTGCTACCGCAGCACACAAAAATGTGTGTACATATATTGAAAATAATGTACAATGCAGAGAAGCAAGCAAGCACAGAAAAAAAGACGAGCATAAAAAAGAAAAGAAGCACAGAGAGACACATCATGATGAAAGTGCGTCGCATGAGCACTAAAAGGTATTAAGTGCGATATGGGAAAATTTCGGATATTGGATGGGGTGGCACACAACAACCAGAAAATATTTTTCGAGAGAGAATGAAAATTCACAAATCTTTTTTTCTTCTTTTGCTCTTCCCCCGCAATGTTCGGATTATTTTAGATGTAGAAATGGCATAAATTTTTCCCTCTTATGCTGCTGCTTTTTTTCTATCTGATTATGCGACGAAGAAAATTTTCTGCCATTTTTAGTGATGTACACAGAGTAAAAAGGCAGCAGCACCATAAAAAACTCACCCAGTGACAAATAAAAATCAATACAATTTTAATTACTTTCGCCATCGCTCTCGATGCTTCTTTTTGCTTATTCCTTTACTTCTATTCTTTACATTCAACCATTTTTTTCATTCCATTACGATTGTTTATTTGCTTGTGTTAATTTCTCGACTTGATTCTTCGGATTTAGCAGAAAACTTTAACAAATGAAAGGATTTTTTTAAATTAAAATCGCATTTATTTGTGTTGATTTTTGGATGAGTGGAGGAATTTGTAATGAGCTGGTTTTTAAGAAAATTATTCAAAGATTTTCTACCTTAAAAACTTTAAATTTTTGTCAGCACACTTCAGTGATTATTCAATGAACACCATGGAAGTGTTGGTAATATTAGTAGAATGATTTAATCGTTAAAGATGATTAGGAGTCTTTTAAGGATAAAATTCATCAAAGATACGATCTTCAGAACCTCTTTTATTTATAAAAATTTATGGAGCTGTTTATTAGCTAAACAACCCTAGATAAGGTTTTTTATGTTTGAATTTTTCAAAAGTTTAACTAAAGTGGCATATAAGTTCATACATTTAATAACGTTTCCTTACTTATTTTCAAGAAAAAGTCTATATTACTATACTAAGTTGCTAAGTTTTTTGTATTTTTTTTAATCAGTCATTTCGGTTCAAAACCATCATTCAACAAAGCAACATCACTCAAAATTCAATCAAACCACATTTTCACATCCACACAGCCTTGAGATTTCAAAAAAGCACACAATTTAAACTTCCAGCAATCAAAAGCAACAAGTTTAAGCTATTTTTTAATATTGAAATAAATTTCCTCAGTATCAAATTTCAAAGCCTGTCCGAATTTATGTGTCACTAAGCAATGGAATGCCATAAAGACGTTTTTTCTGCATTCCTTTTATTGGAAGGAGACATAAATTTTATTACATTTTAAATAGGTATGAGTATACAATTAATATCAACATCACAAGTACATCCAAAACATTAAAAACCTCTATAATTCTTATTTTTTTAATTCCATATCATGTCATCTATTTGACAAATTTATTCTTAACATTTTTATAATATATTTTTGAACACACTACATAAATGTCTTTCAATTATAACCAATTTTTTTAAAAAACAAAATTCAGAGCATTTATAAAGTGGTGGGGAAGATACAGTAAAAAACAATTTAAGGCACCAGAAAATTATAATAAGGAATAAGAAGGTTTCTAACAAAAAAGCCACCAAGATTCTATTCTTACAACCGCTTGTTAATGGCAGTAATAATTTCCTCATAGAAGAAGAAGTAAAACCCAGACATCATTCCAGACTTGATGACTGCAGGTGCAAGTCCTTTGTAAAGTCCAGTGAAGCCTTCTTTTGCGAAAGTTTTACGTAGACAATCGAGCATTCCTGTTGTTTTAATATTTTGACCAAATGTTGTACGATTATCATGAAATTCTTGAATCTGTAATCGTTTCTTAGTCAAATCGAGTGGATAAATGCATGTTTTGGCAAGGGTTCCACTAAAAGTTCCAGCCAATAAAATAACGTGTCGAGAAACTTTGTCCTCGTTCTTTAATTTCATGTAGTGCTCTAATAAAAAGTTGTATGTTCCAAATTGAATTGCTGCATTTGGTGCAATGGCTGTTATGCTTGGTATTAAGCCACGAAAAAATCCTTTCGGACCCTCACTCTTTAAAATTGTTGCAAATGCATCGAAAATTGATTGATATCCACGACCATGATCTTGCGCGATAAATCGTGTACGAACGACATCGAATGGTGTTGCAATTGTCATCCCAAATGCCCCAGCAAAGCCACCACCAACTGTATGTCTCATGTCTGAATGTTCATTAAAAAATTTAATCTTTCTTGACTGTCGATTGAACTGATCGTAAGCAGCAAACTGCCCAAAACCAAAAGTGATGCTTAGAATTTGTCCCGGTACATGACCCTTCCACAAGCCACGAATGCCTTCCTCTTGAAACATCAAGACGAGTGTCTGAAGCGTCGATGTATATTTGGCACCAATGTTCTTTTTAATAGGTTCCAATTGCAATTGATGACGAACTTTAATGCAATCGAGTGGCTGTGTTAAAGCACGTGTAAAAAATCCAGAAATTCCACCCGCCATCGGTGCCTTTACTTGTAAAAATATTGAGTATGCTTTGCTGTGATTTCCATTCCCTCCATCTGTTGGCTGTTTTCTTTCCATTTCCCTTTTATTAAAATTATTTTTCTATCTTCAGATAATTTACTATTTTTTTATTGAGACCTTTTTTGAAGGTGGAGCGCGTGTAATGGAAGTCAGGAAGATGTCTAGAAGAAGCAGAAGATATTCGAAGAACTTGAATCAGTTGTGTGGCTTTATAAATTATAATTTGTTAAGTTATAAAAGCTATTCTATGAGGAATAAGAATATAAAAAAAATCACAAAATAATTTGTCGCATATTGAAGCCAGACAGACATTGAGGGAAGGACTGTTTACTCTGAAGTAGTAAATGTCGTTTTGGTCACAAAAACAACAACAACAAGAGTGACGATGAAAACATGCGTTTTTTGAAATGCGCGTACCATAACCTTTTTTTCTGTGTCTACACACTCATCTACATTATCTTCCATTTTCTCAATAGTCATAATAATTCTTCTTACTCTTTGAGTTTTTTTTTAATTTTCGAAAATTAATGAGAAACTAAAATATTTTTGAAATATGATCTCTGATGTGAATAGATTTAAATTAATTACTAGTAATTTAGTTTACTAAAATCATGACGATTTATATCAAGAGATAAAAGTTGGCAGTTAAAGCTTGCTAAACTCGTTGGAAATTGGCAGATAATTAATAGCAAATTAATGTGGATTTAAATTCTTTATTGGGACTCTCAGGAAGGTGGGTTCAGATTTAATATTAGTCACAAACTCACTAGGATAGACTCAATCATCAAATTTGAATTATGAGAAATAAAATATCACGCGTGGTTTTCTTATTATCCGCCATCATCATATTCATCATCACACATACAAAACATAATGAAATGAAATTAAATATAGCATACTTATTAGTGCATGGATCAATAAGTATATACATCACATACATTCATATCAAATGGTACAGAACTGACAAAAATTAAATATGAAGAGGAACGAAAGAAGAGGAAAAAAAACACTACAAACAGCTAGCAAGTCAGATGTGACGTGCGGTTGAGAAAAAGAAATTTATTAATTTTATTCTCTCTCGTAAAATTGCTTCTCTCAAGTAACTCGCTCTCTCTCTTGCTCACTTACATTGCCGACACTATGAAAGAATAAGAAGAAATGAAATTTCCATCTGGCGTTGCACGAGCATGTGTATAAGTTTTTTTTTCTCTCTACATACCAACACACAACAAGCATAAAAAACAACAACAACAGTCAGAGAGAAAAAAAGTACTGTAAAGTGGATTTAAGTGTCTCTTAGAAGCGCATTTTTGAGATTCAGGAATTTTTTAAGTACCAGAAATTGTCTCAATTCTTATTAAAAACTCAAAACCGGCTTGGATATGGTTGACAATAAATGATTAACTTATTTATCAATTCCTACACAAACTTATCCATTAGACTGCTCATCCAACCCCAAAATTCGACCATCCATCATGCTTCTTACTGACCCATACACTCACTTATCACACAACTCCATCCATCCATTAGCCTTAATGTCGTACTTCTTCATTCAACCACCCACCTAGCTTCTTTATTCATCCAACCCATCCACTTACGAAAATAACTCATCCATCAACTCAAACTCGACAACCGCAAAAACCACCCAAACTGAGTATAATAACTCCAATTATCTTTACCAAACAAAAAATGCGCTAAAAATAGCAAGCAAACAAGGCATTATTGTTGCCCCGAAATAAGATATATGTATACATAAGTCTCGATTGCTTTTGCGTATATACGATCAGAAGCAACAACAACAACAAACGGTAGAGCAACGACGACTTGAACGACGATGATGATGAGGAAAAAAAAAGAAGGCACAAAAGAAAAGACACGCGACACGATGAGAACAAAAAAAGGAAGGAAAGAAGAAGAAGAAGGGAAAGAATTGTAAATGGATGGGGTGTGAGAGAGAAATGGAGAGATTATTGAATGAGAGAGAGATATGAGAAATGAGATGGGGACATTCTCAGGGTTTTCACACGTTTTATGACTTCTTTTTCTCTTTTATTGTTGTTTACGTGTATGTAAAATTAAAAGGTATTACGTGAATCGAGTATGAGAGAATCCAGAGAGAGTAAGAGAGTAAAGGAATAAAAATCAGGGAACAAGTTCATGGGAAAAAGACGTTTTGTGGCATTTTATTATTATTGTTATGTTTGATCAGTAAAATTTTATTATTTAAATACCGGAAGCCCTGAATGAAAATGAGGATGGAGTAGAGAACAAGAATGAACATATGAATCGGCGACAGTTGAAGTGAGATGGAGAGAGAAATTGCTGTTTTTGCTGTATTAACCACCAACACAATTCAATTTTTTTTCACTCCATTTCTGTACCTATTTTTTTATGTTCAATTCCCTGAGATAACTAATAAAAATCTCTTTTTTTATGCTTTTTATTTCTTCTTCTTCTCCGTGAAAAAGGCAACTGACTGTGTCTCACTCACTCGCAACGATTCTCTATAGTTCGATGATTTTAAAGATTCTACATTAAATCTACACAGATATTATTCAGATTTCTTTTTCATTAAATGGCGTTTCATGCTGCTTTCTCACTTAGTCTGGTTATCTTTTATGGCTGATTTTACCAATTCTATTTTTTGCACTGCGTTTTAACTTTGAGACTGTAAAGGTTGCTTCAAATTATCCTCAATAAATTACGTATTAATCAAAAATTTCAATAAAAATTTACAAATGTGTTGACTGTCACTTTTATATCTAAATTTCTTAATAAACAAAATAGATTTTGTGTCATGATTATGGCTTTAATAGTTTTCATAATGAGAAATAATTGTTAGTAAATAAATGCAACGTAAAATGAGATTTTTAAAGCTGATAGTGAGATTGTCGAGTTTATGGGAAAGTAACTGAGACTTTCAGATTTGTTATGAGAGTTCTGTGCATGACTCTTATTACAATTATTGAAACTTTTACTTTCTGGGGGTTTCCTGAAGTTTTGATATCTTTCAATTTAAAATGCAAAAGTATCTAAAGCGTAAGAGGTCAATCTTAGGATTTGTGGACTATTATTAAAGATTAAATACCCCTTTTTTATTGGACGCTCAGTTTTTAAACCTTTACTATAGCATTTTAAAGTATAAACCCACGACAAGACTTTTCTTTCATGGACAACAACTCAGTTCTATGACCATCATTGATAAAACAAAGTTTGCAAAGCTAGAACAACACTGAATAAATCCAAAACCTACAGAAAATTGATCTTTTATGGTAAAAAATTGTTGTCTTGATATCCACTATGAACATGCAAATACCACAAAAATTATTTAAGTATGTGCAACCAGATATTTTAATTTGGTCAATCATTAATGAAAAGTTATTATTTTCACATAAATTCTATAAAATAACCTTTCTTGGTCACTAAATTAAAATTATAATGGTGAACCTAACTTAAGAACGACCCCTTAGTTGCATGTGGAAACTTTAAACTACTTGTTAACAACTGATTAACAATCGTAAAATTACTTTACATTGTTTGTTACTATTAGATAATGTCATTAGCCTCAAATTCTATACTAGCTTAAGTAAGTGACTTTTCAATAACTGACAATATTATAAATCATTAATGTCAACAAGGCCAAGAGATTTTTCAATTAAAAAATTATTAAAAACACAAAATAAATCATTTAAAGCTTCCATTTATTATAACAGTTAGATTTTTCAGTCTGTCATATTTATGTAAATATTATCGCTATGAATGGCAGGGTGTGCTTCATCATTTTGTTATGAAGTAAGTTAATATAAATGGAAGTGTATCATATCAACAAGTTTTAGCAACTTTGTCACATGCATATTTAATAGTTTATTAATATTATACATAGTGTCAACCTGGACATAATCGATAATAGAAATTAATGAGATTACGCTGTGAAGCTAACAATGTTGGATGCCTTGATTCAATTTTATAATTCTGAGTAATTAAAATATTATTATTGAGCTGATTAATCGTGTATATTGAGTTGGGGGGATCTGTTGTTGCGGATGAGATCTGGATTATTGAGAGTTTTGATAGTTGGGGATTTAATTATTATTATATTGAAGAAGACAAGGCTGCAATTCTACTGACCTTACAATGCGAATGTCATCATGCTTAATTAGTAAAACATTCTGACAAGAACAAAAATTCAGGAAGTTTCCACAAAAAATTTTGTCAATGTAACATTGCAAACCTTCACGAGAAATCGATTGTTTCCCCTCATGTCACTTGAAATTTCAACGTAAATTAATTACCCAATTAAAGTCTTGAAACCGAATCCGGCAGGAACAACACACAAAAAATAATTTAAATTCAAGAAGAAAACAATCGAGAAGTCAGAAAAACATTAAGATTAACCTCACATTATTGAGCACATTTATAATTGTTTCAAAAATATATATAATCAAGCGCACAAATAAACTAAAAACTCGTTGCGTCACGAAATTAAATGTCGCTCTTAAAAGTGTACAATATATAAAAAATATATGTATATAATTTTTTTTTTACAAAATGGCTTACGAGTCTTTTTGACGGATTTTATTTATTTTTTTTTTATTTTCATTTATTTCTGCTGGTATTTCTTCTCTCATAATAATATCGATCGGCTTTATCGCTACACGTACATCATTCATTTACATATATGAGTGTTATTGTATAAGACACTCACTCTAAATGAAATAAACTCTTTTTTTTTATTGTACGCCGCTTCTCGTAAACTGATTTTTTTCATAGGGACGCAACAAATGAACAAAATTTTATAAAACATGAAAAATTATTAATAAATGAAAGTCAAAAATGGTGTGTTCATGTGGTTGTTCAAATAATGACACGTGGATTGTATCGTATGTAAATTTTGTGGATATCAGATTCATTGTCCAGTAGAAATCAAAATTTTTTGTTTAATAAAAGAAAGTTGGTCATGAATTTAATTGCGAATTTCTAAAAAATTAGAAGGGGATTGTGAAATTTTGTTGGCACTAACCCCCCCCCCCCCCCCCCCCCTCCGCCCTCTCATGCTT